TATGTTTAGATAACTCAAAGTGCTTGGTTAAGTTAAGGCTAAGACTATTTATACTATTTTTCACACAGACAACACTGTTTGGATCTCTGAGATGTAAGATCCAAAGAACAGCAATTACAGCTCATCACCATGGATGTGACCAAAGAAACCAAACAGAGATCATTTAGGTTTTCAAAGTTCTGTGTTTTTGCATTCCCAACATCCACTTCGACCACTCTCCTACGATCTAGAACAAATGTAAATGATCCTAGACAAAAAAAAACATTCTCAGGGAACACAATTAACACAATAACGTTTCCTCCAAAATCATGCACTAGAAATGCAGGTTTTAGGACACATGATTTGCTTCCTTCCCTCCTGAGTGTAACACCTGCCCCCTTTGTCTCGTCCTCTCCTCAGCGAAGTTCTTCAGCAGCGGCTGTGCCCCCGGATCAGAACTCAGCTCTCCGTTCTGTTCTCAGTGTGTCGGCAGTAGAAGAGCGGTGGGAGATGAGTCAAAGTGCAAAGCCAGTGCTGAAGAGCTGTACTACGGCTACGCAGGAGCGTTTAGGTAGGACAAAGGACAGTGGACATTCATCCACTCAGCACTTTTTTTGCAGTTTCAATGTTTGTAGCCAATACATAGCACAAACTCCTCCTTAAACCCCAAAACTGTAGTTTTTACACATTTGTTTATGTATGGCTTAAAAACTAAAGATATTTTTTATTCATGAATTAACTTTTTTTGCTGCTAATAATACAATTGTATTTACTTTTCAAGAGACCCAGGTTGCTTTCCGATAATCCAAAAATTAGCTCCTAAGTTCTAACCCTATCTCCTATTCCTTGACCTCTGAGTGAAACGTCACGGGGTTAAGGGATAGTGGATAGGAGAATTCAAAAGGATTTAGGAGAAGAGACTGCGGTGCTTAGAGAATCCGAATGCACTTTCACTATCCGACGTGTTTATGATGCGCCAGCGGACGTCATGAATGTGCGTCTGCTGCTGTGGGGAAACTATGGAAACTAGTTTTCTATACAGCGGACTACAACATGGATGTTTAATAAGAACGAGGGACTACTGTAAACTCATCTAGAGACTCTGCACCGTGCTCTGATGCTGTTGCTTTATGCTTTATGAACGTGGACAACAGAGAAACATATTCTTCATGACCAAAGTTGGAATTTAAATAAAAAAGGAAAGTTAAACTTATGCTCATCACCCTCTCCCTCCGGTCCACATTAATACAAATGATCCCAATACGTATGATTGTATGAACTATTAAAAGATCTTAAAATAAATACAAATGTATTTATTATAAACGTTAGTCCTTAACATCTATCACTGTGTATATCACCATTCAAACATCTTTTAAAAGTTGAACAAACCCCACACAGCTCAGTAAAGACTGTGAGATGTTGACTTTATTTGATCATTTCTGTAAAAACTAACGTTCATATTTCTCTTTTTGATTATAATACTGATGAACGTTCAGAAAAAAGCACTTTGGCAACTTACCACATACGTTTTAAAATGCTTAATAAGCACCGTAACTTTCATGATATAATTTCTCCCATTATCGTTTGTGTCCGTGAACGGCCGACTGTTGAGTGACGGCAAATGCTGCGGCTGCAATGCATTGTGGGGCAGCATTTTCTCCTCTCCTTTCGGTTAGGGAGGTCCAGTGGTTCCTAAGCTAAAGGAGGTTATAAAGGAAGTTTGAAACCTCCTTTCCTTTCATTTGGAGAATTGGAACGGCACTTATCATGGCTGCCAGTGACGTACTTCCGGGTCATTTCACTCCGTTAGGAAGGTTCCTAAGCTAAATGGACTATTGGAATGGGCCCCCAGGCTAGCTGTCTCCCCATACGTTATTCTTTATGCTAAGCTAAGCTAACTGCCTCCTGACTTTAGCCCTTTACTTAACATTCAGGGCTATCAATCTTCTGGTCTAATAAAGCAAATAAAGGTATTTCCATGGTATTTACTTTCTATTCCGGAGCACCTCATCTTTGTGTTGTTATGTTTTGCATCTCATTATAGGTGTTTGGTTGAGGGTGCAGGGGATGTTGCTTTCATCAAACACACAATTGTTCCAGAAAACAGCAATGGTGAGAGACTGACACTTACCTCTCTTAATCTCAGCTATGAATGTGTTATTTATATAAACTTAAAACATCCTCCTCCTCTTCTTGTCAAAGGCAAAGGTCCAGAATGGGCTAGAGGACTAAACGCTAATGACTACCAGCTGATCTGCCCTGGGCAGGCTGCTGGTGTGGAAATCTCCGAGTACGCCTCGTGTAACTTGGCTGCTGTGCCCGCCCACGCTGTGGTGACTCGTCCGGATAACCACGACAAGGTTGTCAAAATCCTTGATGAACAGCAGGTGAGTGATGATTTTTTAGGTCATGAGGCATAAGATAAAGAATAAAACATGCATTTGTTCTAACTTTCAACAGCATTGTTTTAACTCTAAACCCGGGTCAAATTCTGGCCTTGTAAATAGGTCTGTTTCTAAATCTTTGTTTTTGTTTACAGGCCAAGTTTGGTAGCAGTGTCAGTGATGCCCCATTCAGGATGTTCCATTCAGACTTAGGGAATAACCTCCTCTTCAAAGACTCCACCAAATGTCTCCAGGCGATTAATAAAGGAACAAGTTATGAAACCTTTTTGGGAGAAAAGTACATGACTGCCATTAATGCTCTCAGACACTGCGGTGAAAGCACTCCAGGTTAGTAATATCGTTGGTCAAAACAGGACACAAAACATAACTTTTAACATTGTATTTTTGTATCTTAGACATATCACACTACATATTTGCATCTGATCGGCATACTCAAGTCAGTTTTTGTATTTTTTTTTCCTCAACAGAGCTGGAGAAATCTTGCACTTTCCATCCCTGCCAGCAAAAAACCTAGTGGCAACCACGGACCAAGAGGTGCCTTCAGTGATACGGGCACCTCCCTTCCCACACTCAACCCCCAAATAACCAATAATTGCACTACCACAACTTACAGATCAACTTTCATGTAAACAATCACTACCACATCTAGCTTTTTTCATGCTGGTGTAACATAACGTTACATTACCTTTGTTATTGGATCCACTATGTTATGTTAACGGGCCTGACTTTTCTCAAATAAAGCCTTTTAATGTTCTTTTGTGGTGACAGTGTGTTGTTTTTTGGATGAATGCCCTGTCTAAGCATTCATATTAAGTGTCATTAAAAAGTACACAGTATCGTAGTGAAAAGGGACAATGTTTTTTGTCCCCCAATTCGCTTCGTGTGCCAGAAACAGTCTGGAATAAACCGATTTATTGGTAATCTGTAACTTTAAAGCTTTGTTGTAAAACACAGCTGGAGTCTTAAAGGTCTTAAAAGTGCATGGACTTGATTAACATTCTAACTGGTTATTATAAAAGTAGTAAATTGTTATGAAAAGAGATGCACCACAACATTTCTTCCAACCAGATAATCACAACATATAATCTAATTAAACAAAGGAAAGTCACCTTCAGCTGCATTTCCACGTAAAGAAACATTTACATATTTTTGGATTGGGGGTTCTGCTTGAGTGCTTTTGGGGGGACTCTGAAAAGCCTCAAAATGTCAAAAAATGCTGTCGTCGACTGACAGAAAATGCTATTTCACTAAGGGAGGTTTCAGACATGAGACATCTGGATCATTTTATCAACTTAGGAAATAGACAAACACAATTTCATTGACTGGAGCTGTTTGCCTGGCCAAATAAGCACACAATGAGGCCCCGTGGTAAACATGAACTTTGAGTCCATATTGACCTGCTGTTTGTGGTAATTTGGTCCAACTCAAATTGACTTAATGAAATATGCAACTTTTACATTTGGACACAGGCCCCCTCTACAAATGATCTTGTCCATGCAGGTTATAATGGGCATTTATTATTTCAGGTAATATTATGTTTAAGTGGAGCACATTCTTAAACACATCTGCTGAAAATGTTTTATCACAAATGTTTTTGGGGCTTTTTGCCTTAATTTTGGTACAGCAAGAGACAGACAAGAAAGGTAGCACAGGGCTATTGATCCAAGTTTCAGTCATTTTTAACTTGAATGAAAATTGTTCCAGCTTCTTGAACATGGGAAGTTGGTGTTTTTCAAAAAAGGTGATGGTTAACTGAAAATATGTGAAAATGTACTGTCTGTGAATTAAATATGAAGGCTAACATTGAGCTCCAAGAAAGTTACTATTTTATATTGAAAAAGAAAAAGTGATTCATTAAGAAAATAATTGTAAGATCAGTTAATAATTTAAGTAGTTATACTGAAAATGATCCCCTTTCCATAAGCCACAGGTAAAAATGAGCTGTCCTTAGGTTAAAAAAAAGAATACAACATTTTCATAATGGGGCATTTCATTGGCTAAATCATACTTAACTATAAAAAGGACATGCTTAAGCACTCATGTTATTCAATAACAGTATGGGGAAAACATAGTAAATACATTTGAATTTCCATTTTATGTTATTTTATAAATAATAATAACCCATTGCATTTATTTTAGGGCTTTTACAAGTGCTCAACGTGCTTTACATTATTACATATCAGACATGTAATACATCAATACTGTTGACCCAGATTACCCACAGGAGCAATTTAGGATGAAGTGTCTTGCCCAAGGACACAACAGCCAGACACTACACCCTCAACTGCTTCTGTGTTTATACTTTAACATTTACTCTATTATACAACAGTAACTTGAGGAAAACTCAAATGCATGCTAATTATAATAAGTAGAACAACATAATAGTCAGACATTGGTCATTTTGCATGCTTTTGGTACGTTCAGTATATTATGATGCTTATACTTTTAAATTAACACGTGGAATGAAGTTCTTTAGAAGGAATTTCCTACTACTTAAATATACTGTCGGAATAATTCAACCTCGATTATCACATTTGTGTGAGGCATTGAACAATTGATCGGAGATCCTGTATCACATGACCAAGGAAACAGCCTCAGAATTAAATTTTCCCGGAAGTTGCCCATGCGACTGTGAGGCGCACCGGCTCCATAGACAGAAACATCGCATTATGGCCTCGCTCTGAGCCTCCTGATGCGACAGTTGTGTACATACCTAACCGGCAATCCGTCACCATCGACGCCCTGATCATGGACCTCCAGTCCAGAGGCTTTTTTCGGGGCCATCGGAGTTGTCAATAGTACTCCCAAAGTACTATATTATTTGATTTTGAGCACTGTCACTTTTGCACGCCCGGGGATTTAAACCGAGGTGACAGTAGTAGCACTCACCCCATCTGCCGGTCAGCTAAGCTAGCTCGCTAAGTCCATAGCCAAGAAGGGCATCACTTTTCTTTTGGAGTAAAGGACAAGGAAACTACAACACCACTACTTTCATTAACAGAAGACTGATCAAAGGCTGATTCCCCGAGTTCCCATCTAACTACATATTCACTATTGATTGCTGGTAAGAATAAAACTCACGTTGGTGTTGCTATCTTGAAGTACAAGCCTGGCTTCATTTTTGTCAAAGGCACACAGGCTAGCTATGCTAATGCTAGTAGGTTGAACAGGCCCTGCCGGCTGTCAGTCCTCTCACTGACACAGCTAGCCTGCTAATCTTGCCAAGAACACGATAACGGAGCAAACTAAATGTATCTGAATCGTTTGAGGTTAGTTAGGTACTCAGTCTGGAGGTATTATTTACAGTTGCTTAGCTAACATTAGCTGAAATGACAGCCAGGGTGTCTCGCTCTCGTGGCCAATCTTCATCTGTTCACCGTTATCACCGACGGCTCTCTAAGGTGACGCTAGTTAGCCCTTCATCGTGTCATGGTTTTAAGACGGTTTTCCACATAGTTTCACATCTAACGCCTCAACTGTACCGGTGTGACTGAAAGCTTGCCGTTATTTGTCTTGTTAGCTTAGCACTAGCTCAAGTTTAATGTCAGGTTGACTGTTTAATTTGACTGGAGGAGCTCGCAGGGCCTGTAATTAAATACACTTCGTAGGACAGGGCTGGGCTACATCGCTAACCAACATTAGCTTAACTGTAACCAATCGGTGTCAAGAGTTGCAACATGTTGGCTAGTACCGGCTTATCTGCAGTGCTCCAGTTTTGAGTTGTCAACATATTGTCCTTCTCCACAGAAAGATGATCAAACTGAACTCTGTAGTTTAAGGTTAAATGTGGACATATCGGCCAGCCACGTAGCGAAATGTCTGACAGTGGGACACGTAATGCTGGCCGGCTAACGATTTAACCTGCCTCGGCCGGGAATGCTGCCTGGTTAGCAGGCCAGTAAACCGTATTTTTATCCTGTAACTTCGCTAAGAGAAAATCGGAAGCGTTCCCTTAACTACCCGTCACATTAAATAGCGATTCATAAGTATGTTGGCCATATCTGCTGACAGAACCATCTTGTAGCTTTGTGCATGGATGCCCTGTCTAAAAAGAAGCATGGCATTAGCTAGCGGCTAACGACAGTTCCTGTGTCAGCAGGTGGATGACACGTCTGCTTGTAGTATTCACCATATTTTATTATTCCATTTTGTCTTGGCTCCTATTCAACGGTCGTTTTTCTTGATGAGAAACTGTAGTCATTTATTTTAAACGGGTATCGACTTAACGATATTTGCACATGTAGCTAGCACACCCAGAGGGCATTACAACCAATGTTAACACAGCAAACGTTCTTTGACCTGAGGTATCCATTTTCTTAAATTCCCTCAAAACATGACCAGTCCAAGTGATTTGGTCCCAGGCAGGTATGTACTGTAAGTAGATCTCCCAACCATAAGACATAATCCCCATTTTGTTTTTGCTGCTTGACAGTCATAGTCCCTTATTTTATATTTGAACAACCGACAGACTTGGGTAGACATTATAACAAGCACATGAGTCGATCAATATCTGATTTGAGCAATAAATGCACAGATGAAGTTAACTCTCATGTGCTCATAAGACTGCAAGCATGAGCCATGAAATATCCAAGTGACCAACATTGTGGGAGGTGATGGAGTTATGTAGTCAAACCCACAGACCACACCCTCCCTGCTTGGTAAGATGATGCCACACTAAGGGTTCATGTCTTCATACAGTATTGAGTTATGTCTAACCTGTATGACTAGTTATCATATGTAGAGATCCACTTTGAAATCAAAGTCATTTTCTCTTGATGCTTGTTTTGTGCTAATGCCTAATCGTTTATTTCCCCTCTATTTTTCTATAAGGCTGGCCACACAAAGCCACTCTAATGCAGAACCACAAAAGAACGTGAAATGAACAAACCACCACAGCCTATAGCGGGACCCACCTCCGTCCCAAACCCTTCCCCTTCCCCTGGATTGACACAGGTGAGAGCCACTGACTTTGTTTAATACTAGTTGCTGTTTTTTGTATATTAAAGATAGGTTACATCATTTTTCCTGTATTCTCTCCTCTCAAGGCCGCCTACGGTCCTGGACAACCCCCTTCTCTTGTCTTTGCCACCCCCCCACCTCAACAAATGAACTCTGCACCGCAACCAAGACAGGTATTGTTCACATCAGTGTTTTTCCTACTGCTAAAGTTTTAGATTTCAGTGGCTTAAGTATGTGATAATTTGCCTTGTATGGGAACCCTCCCTCTTCTACTCTTTCACTAAGACTTCTGACACGGCTTCTTCTGCTATAAGGCTTTGGCTAAGTCTCTGTGTGTTTTGGCCTTTTGCCATGTTTCTCCTTGAATGTCAATCTTGACTTCTTTCCTCTCTTCTGCTGTCCTCCCAGTTTGCTGCAGGCCCCCGTACTTTACACCAACAGGTACTAACACCCTGCACTTTTCCTTACATCCCCAATCTCCTTGGTGTAATGCATGTTTTCAGCTCCACATATTGGAGAATATATAAGCTTTACTGTTTTATTAGATGAAATAACTTTTCCTGAGGTCCAGTTGCATGTAACTCCAAATCTAATTTTAACAATGCGTATTTTTCTATAGGAAATAGTTGTTGGCCAGGTCAAAAATGTTTATTAGATATCAACAAGTCCTTATTTATTGTTTATCCATCATGCACCCTAACATTTTGTATTAAAGATAATTAGTTGTAGTACCTGTCCTGCAGCATTTTCACATTGCTTCAGTGCACACATGCGCCTGCAACCTGTAAAGCGATTCTTTAACCACTCAAGCTGGGACCGAATAACTCGAGTGGATCGCACTTCTCTGCAGACCTGAACACAGTCATGTCATCGTTTGAGCTTACTATTCATGGCTGATAAAATATTTTGTTTCTGCCTCTCTTTCTCTTCATTCTTACGGCTTGTAATCTTAACCTTTCACATTGTCTCTTGTCCTCATTTTCACTTAAATCTCACTCCCTCTCTTGCTCTCTGCTCATGTGTTGCGCGGCTGAAGGGGGGATACAGAGCATTACAGGTAACAACTTTTCCCTTCGTCTATCTACCCCCCTCTTAACTCGGGCTAACTTCAGTATAGCAATGAGATATGAGATTCAGCACTCGGTGTAATTCAAATTAGACTTAGTGTAACTCAAGACCTGAACGTGCTGCACATATTGGCAGTCACAGTGAGTGCTTCCAGCTGAGTTTAGGTCTGTGACTGAACACATACACAAGCATAACGCTTGTGTGTTGTGCTTGTGTATGTGTGTGTGTTCATAACACGTGAGTTAGGACCACAATAGCTAAGACACTAAATAAGCACATGGAGCATCAGGTTTGCTTGTGCTTCTGACATACTCTTCATCAGTCTTTATCTTCCCTCATTTGTTTTCTAGAGTTACTATCAGAACCGACCAGCGATGGCCGCGAGTGCTCCAAGGCTGCAGACGAGTAGTGGCCCCCGACCTGTCGGACCCACTCACGTCTACCCGCCCAACTCCCAGATGATGATGATTTCCCAGCAGCAGCTGTCTTTTGCTGGCTCCCCTCAGGGATACTTCATCCCCCCTGGACAGGTTGGTTTACTTTATTAGTATTACTTGGTATCCATTTGACAAATGACATGCAAAGTACATGCATATAACTAGTCTACCCAACAACCTGCCGACATGATATTAAGTATATCTTAATGATTACTGGGATAATAATCTCATCATGAAATGTACATGTTGTCCCACGCCTACTGTTCTGGCTCCAAAGTTGAAGTATTTTTCTCATGAAGAAATACAATTTGAATAATTGGGGTGAACGTCTAAGACATTTAAGTGTTAACAACTGTAAAGGTTCTCTTAGGATCGTAGGGGATTACCTGCTCCTACTAAATGAGTGTAATGAAGCCCCGTTAAACCTACTGCCATGGAGAAAAATAATTTTTGGCATAGGAAATTGAGTTCAAAGTAATTTTCCATTCAAGAGACAGATTGTCAAGCAGCAAAGAATTACGAGTGCCACAGTTTGTCAAATGGTAAACTTAAAAAGACTGAAACATCAACAGCCAGAGAAAATCAGTCTTTCTGCTTCAAAAAGCCTGACTGAAGTGTGTGAGCATGTGACGTGTAGGCAAAAGAAGTATAAGCTGCGTTTCAAAATAAATTGGGGACAATCTGCACAAATGTTAGTTTTTTATCTTCCAAAGACAGATGTTAGAAAAAAGGCTTCTCTTTTTGGGTTAATACAGTGCATTTCTGTGGAGATGACGCATAATAATTCAATATGTGGTTGTAATTTCTGTCTCTTTTATTGTTTCTCTGCAGTACCGGGCCCCATATATGCCTCCTACTCAGCAGTATCCAGTGACCACCGGTACAGGAGGCTTCTACCCGGGAACTAGCCCTGCTGAATACCCTGCTTATGGTAAGGGGTTTTGGACAAGACCAACAACAACCAAGCACAACTATAAACATCGACAATTGTCAGTTAAAACACCAGACAAACACATTTAACTTCAGCATGTAGTTTAAGTCTGTATATATTTGCGCGCCTCTTCGCCCATATGGTATCGCCGGGTGTGTGTGGTGGTTTTGCTTGGCTGGTTGGTGTGTTTAATGTCTCTGTGGGTGAAACACAGCTGTGTGTGGTGAAGTGCCAGTTGCATGTACTCTGGCTTGATTCTGCTTTGGCCTGTGTGCTCTCTATCTGCAGTCTCACCTGACACTGCCTTACAGGTTCCATGAAATGGCTTTGAGACAATAATTGTGTCCTTTTGCTGGATGCATGTCTAAATAGAAATGCTGTTGGGGGATGGTTTTCATGTAAAGACTAAATATTACTGAAAGCATTCAGGACAAAGACTACCTGATGCAAGCAAATATTTAAGTATTACTGCACGTGTTTATAAATGTGCTATATAAATAAAACTTGATTTGACATGAAACCATTTTCTTTTAAATCCCCCCAAACACACATCTTGTGTTACTGCTGAAGCATCTTATTTGCTAAAGAAAACTGTGAGGAATTGGCTTGTTAAAACTTAAACCTCACATTATTTTGCTTACACACACCCCTGAGTGTAAAATGAACACATTATAAAACTTTCCAGGAAGAGAAAATTATGATTTGATTTAAGACTCTTTTGACAGAAACAATAAATCAATAAGATACAGACAGAAACACAAGTTACGAACACGTTAAAAGCTTTGTTCATTTCATGGGACCTTTTTAACACCCTGCTTCCTCTGGATCCTCTCATTAACTCATTCTGCATCTGTCTCTTCCTGCCCTCTCTCCTTCTTTCCTCCCGTCCCTCACTCCCTTCCTCTCGTTTGCTGCGTTGGTTCAGAGCCCTCTCTTGCTGCGAGGGAGAGGCGGGGTGGTGGGGGGAGAGGGGGCGGGCGAGAGAACGTCCGTCTCTCTCTCCACGGTGCTCCTCTCACCTCCCAGCGCTACCCTGGTGAGTAGTGTGTGTGTGCTTGTGTGTTGTTCAGCAGGCTTTAGTGGCAACAATCTCTGTGGCCCTTCCTGTCTCTGGTCGTGTTTTTAAATGTGTTTTACTTTTCTTTATTCTAACATGAATGTTTGCGTTCGAATGGGATACAAAGTAAAGGTTGCATACATAAGAAAACATTCACCGGTGATCATACCACCAGAAAATACACCTAAATGCACACTGTCAGTGACGTTAGGGTTAAATCGGGGTGAATTGAACAATTTCGCTGACAATTATATAAAGGTTATACTTAAAATACTTTAATCTACAAACCACACTTTGTTAGCAGTGCTGATATAATTCTCTCTAACAATATCCTTCAACATCTGCTGAATAAAAAAACACTAACCCTTGCTAGTAAGCAGGTTTCTTGCTAGCTGGACCGAAATGTACAACAATCAAGTTCATTGTTTAAACATTCATGAGCTACAAAGTCATGTTGGCTCTTTTCCTTCACTGTACAGCACTTTAACATCCTGCTTCTGTCCGACCTTCAGTCTGGATGTGAAGGTCATTACTTCAATGGCGTGTCATAACCAATTTCACTCTAGTGCGTTTGAACCTTAAACTTCACACAGGCAAGCTTTAACATCCAGGGTTTTGAGTAATGGCAGCGTCAATTGATTTCACAACACATAAATTAGCCTGTAGATAAGCCTATATCTATATATAATATGTCAAAGTTATTTTTTTTGCTTTGACCTTGAACAATTTATAGACTCTGTGGATTCCTGTTTTCTTTCCTACAGGATGCAAGATGTGTTTTCTCTGTTCAAAGTTCCAAATATGAATGAGGTTAACAGTGTCAGAAAGTACACTGCAAATACTTTTTTTTTCAAGACTACAGGAAAATAAACTCTTGTGACTCCGGATTGGAGCTGCGTCTGACACTTTTGGGATGGTTTCCTTTTCATTAATACTCTTATTGTTTGATTTACCTGTTACAGCAGGAGCATACTATCCAGCGCAGCCACAGTACTCCCCAGCTGTCCAGCCGGCACCTGTCATGATAAACCCCGCCCAGCAACAGCAACAAGCCCCGCCTCCTCAGCAACCACAGGCACCGCCACAAGGGCCACCAAAGAGGGAACGCAAACCGGTAGTGTGTCTCAACAAAAGGGCAGCGCGCCTCTTGTCTGAGGTCAAAAAAAAAAATTTGAATGGACAAAAAAGTGTATTGTCTGTCCAATGTGGAACTTTCCCTTTTACCTGTAAATGACAATAGTGTTCACCATGATGGGTGGCTGCCATAGATCAGTAGCGACAACATTGTTACACACTGGCTGTGCTTTGATTTTGGCTACATGTTAGAAATCTAACCAATATGTATCCTGCCTTTTTATAGATAAGGATACGAGACCCCAACCAGGGTGGACGTGATATTACAGAGGAGATCATGTCGGGTGGAAGATCCACCACCACACCGACCCCCCCACAGGTGAGGAGACATTTTGAGAAGACTGTCTTTATGGACTCATTTGAACTCTGATCTGAAACGGGAAGATATAGTCATAAAAAGTATGTTTTTTGTTGTTGTATTCTGTCTTGAAAACTAACGAGTCATGGCTCTGTTAATCTAGGATTAAGGTTTTTTGTTTTTCTTATCTAATCCCGAACTATTTTTTTTAACACTATACAATACACAGTACACACGGCAGTCTTTAAAATGACCATAGCGCTTAATAATCACTTCTTTGAAACGGTCACAAATGATTTCATCACAATTACTTGTGAAAGGCATGGATGTAATTCATAAATACGTTGCAATCTGTGTTTCCATTTCATTTATCAGAGATTTAAACCCTTATTACTGTTTTGTGACTGCAGGCTTCCACAGCAGAATCGAGTCCTGCACAGACAAACGGAGAAGTTACACAGCCTCCTACAGTGACTAGAATAGGTGAGTACAGTTCCTCAGTTTTGGTTTACATAACGAATACAAGATGGCTGTATTCCACATTTTCCAGATTGTGACTATTCTGTATATTTTGCTGCCCAGATGACAACACTGAGCCTCCTGTGAGTGCTGAAACCCCCCCACCTCCTGCCACAGCAGAATCAGAGCCTGTGGAGGAAGACCAACAGGAATCGGATGACCAGATGACACCGCCTGCTGAGTTAGCCGCACAATCTGTAGCCCCTGCAGCCGCCGCTGAAGTGCCACCCCCATTGAAAAAGGACCTGCCGTCTCCCTCCCCCCCCCCTGCAGCAGCAGTAGCAGAGCCTACTGCTGCTCCTGCTGAGGCCGAAAACACAGTTGATACTAAAGTAAGTGACACGGTAGACGCTCCTGTCAGCCCTTCAGCATCATTAGCAGCAAAAGTGGCGCCTGTCAGGAAGGAAGAACCACAGGTTGCCCCAGCTCCTGCTGAGAAGGTACTAGAAAAGGAAGAAAATAAAATGGAGGAGGTGAAGAAATCTGAGAAAGAGGAGCAGGTGGCCAGCTCTAAGTTGGAGCCTGCCGTTGAGCTTGCTGCAACAGTTACCCCCGAAAAAGAAGCAGAAGAAGAGACGGCTACAAAGACAGAAACAGAGGTCTCTTCACCTCCGCCCTCTGCAGAGGAACCTGCTGCTGCTCAGACTCAGAGCGCCGCCCCGAGCTCTGAACCTGCTGCTACTCAGACTCAGAGCGCCGCCCCGAGCTCTGAACCTGCTGCTGCTCAGACTCAGAGCACCGCCCCGAGCTCTGAACCTGCTGCTGCTCAGACTCAGAGCGTCGCCCCGATCTCTGAACCTGCTGCTGCTGCTCAGACTCAGAGCGTCGCCCCGATCTCTGAACCTGCTGCTGCGGCTCAGACTCAGAGCGTCGCCCCGATCTCTGAACCTGCTGCTGCTGCTCAGACTCAGAGCGTCGCCCCGATCTCTGAACCTGCTGCTGCTCAGACTCAGAGCGTCGCCCCAAGCTCTGAGCCTGAACCCACACCGGCTGAGGCAGCAGAGCCTCTCCTCTCCAACGGTCTTCCTCAGGACGCTGAGGAACTCGCTGATGATGTGGCATTAACAGACACTACACCCCTTGACAAGCCTGAAGCGTCGCAATCTCAGGAATCCGCACCTGTGGCTAAAACGGCAATGCCTGCCCAGGAGGAAGTAGAAAAGGAGGAGGAGAAGAAAGAGGAGGAGAGTAAGGAGACAATTGAAGATGCCCCTCCTGCCGCTGTAAGCTGCCCTACAGAGGAATCTACTATGCAAGGTAGGGTGGAGTTTATTCTGGCTCACGTGTATATTTGTTGTTTGTGTCTGTGGTAGATTTTAATATCAACACTGCCTCCTTTTCTTAAAGCTGCAACGTCCGTACCAAAGAAGAGGAAGAACATGAAGGAGCTCAACAAGAAGGAGGCCATCGGAGACCTCCTGGACGCCTTCACAGAGGTGAGTGTCAGTCCGGATGACCACATGAAAGATCGATATTAGCAAAAGGACACAGTGTTCAAGTGTCTCCGCAATTTCAGACGTATCAACAATATTTCTGAGGACATATTATAACACTAAATTCTGCATCAAGTAACTTGGTTATTATAACACGTCCTCATCTCTTGGTGTTTGTGTTTGTCGTAGGAGCAAGAAGCCAAGCCTGCTCCCGAACCCTCGTCCGCTCAGGCCGACCCGGCACCTGTTGCTCCGCCCGCGCCTCCTGCTGAAGTTGTGGATGAAACTTGGGAGGAGAAGGAGGACAAGCAGAGCGATAAACCTAAAACAAAGACTGAGCCAACTGAGGCGAAATACCAGTACAAAGAAGGTATGCTGTGACCAACATGCTCTAGAATTGGCAATACCAAAAAAGAAAGGGGGGCACAGTCAAATGTATTTATAATTGTGTTGCAACAGTTGATTCATATATACAATGTTTCTTCCATCTCTCTCAGAACAATGGAAGCCGATAGACCCAGAAGACAAGAAGCGGTACGACCGGGTGTTCCTTCTGGGCTTCCAGTTCATCACCGCCAGTATGAACAAACCTGACAACCTGCCCACCATCAGTGACGTGGTCCTGGAAAAGGTAAGGGACTTTTGTACATCATTTTGAGAAATAAGTGAATATTCGAGGGGAAATTAAGCAGTCCTCCACTTCTTTAAACATTAACATTTATTTTTAACTTCAGGCAAACAAGACTCCGATGCGGCCTCCTGACCCAGCTCGCATGATGAATGTCGGTCCTGATTTTACCCCCTCTTATTTGGGGAACCTCGGAAGCAGACCGACGGGGGGACCCCGAGGCCCAGTGAGTGAAATGGACTCTTCAAAATCCCATGGATATGTGTTGACAAAGGTTTATTTTCTAACTTTTCCCTATATCTTTTCCCACCCCTCCTTTTAGCCACCGGGCGGGTCGGGCCAGGGCGGGTCGGGCCACGGCGGGTCGGGCCACGTCGGGCCACGCCGCTCCCAGCAGGGTCCGAGGAAAGACACCAGGAAAATCTTCACCAGCTTGTCCCTCGGGGAAGACATACAGCTCAACAAGGCTGAGAAGGCCTGGAAACCCGGGGTAAAGAAGTCCACACAGAGCCACACCGAAGAGGTGGCCGAAGACGACGACCCCGAACAGGCGAAGACTGCCGAGCTGTTCAAGCGTCTGCGCAGTATCCTCAACAAGCTCACCCCTCAGAAGTTTCAGGACCTGATGAAACAAGTGCAGGATCTGACGATAGACACCGAGGAGAGGCTGAAGGGAACCATTGACCTCATCTTTGAGAAGGCCATCTCAGAACCCAACTTCTCTGTGGCCTACGCCAACATGTGCCGCTGCCTTATGGGGGTAAGTCGAGGGATTTTTGTGAAGATATTATAATTTCCTCCAATGTTGACACGTAAAACAATGCCCTTTTTGTCCTTTTTTGTATCCATATTATTATCAATGAGATGTAAAGTGTATACTAAATAATGTGTTTCTCCCTCAGTTGAAAGTCCCTGCCACAGACAAACCAGGAGTTTTAGTGAACTTCCGCAAACTGCTGCTCAACCGCTGCCAGAAAGAGTTTGAGAAGGACCAGGATGACGATGAAATCTTTGAGAGGAAGCAAAAAGAAATGGAGGTTGCCAAAGAAGTAAGAAATGTGATCTTTTAACGAGACGGGTCTCAACCAACACATGTTTTCGTTGTTTAATCGGACTCAACTGATCATATTACTGAGTACAGTTTCCATTTGTTTCTGCCCCAGGGAGAGGAGCAAGAGCGCCTGAGAGTGGCGCTGCAGAACGCCAGAGACCAGGCCCGCCGCCGCTCAATGGGTAACATCAAGTTCATCGGAGAGCTCTTCAAGCTGAAGATGCTGACGGAGGCCATCATGCACGACTGCGTAGTGAAACTGCTGAAGAATCATGATGAAGAGTCTCTGGAGTGTCTCTGCAGGCTGTTCTCCACCATCGGCAAAGACCTGGACTTTGAGAAGGCCAAGGTAAGAAAAGCACAAACATTTATACATTCAGCTGCCCCGGCGTTTTTAATGTGCCCCCGATTGTTAGTGATGGGTTCGAGGAACTGAGGAAACTATATAAATATCACTTATTCATTTCTACTTAGCTCAACATTTCAAAGCCATGACTCATACAATCTGTTTTTCCCTGTTAGCCTCGCATGGATCAGTATTTCGCCCAGATTGACAAGATCATCAAAGAGAAAAAGACTTCATCCAGAATCCGCTTCATGTTACAAGACGTCTTGGACCTCCGAAGGGTAAATATTCATTCTTCCATAGCGGGATATTGCAATAAAAGTAATCTAGGGAGAGACTTCTGAGTCTCATAAGAACCATGGATGTCCGAAAATGATGGGACTGTTTTATAACGTCTACAGAGTAACTGGGTGCCGCGTAGAGGAGAACAGGGGCCGAAAACCATCGACCAGATCCACAAGGAGGCAGAGCTGGAGGAGCAAAAGGAAATGATGAAAGTCCAGCAGATTATGTCCAGAGGAGGAGGAGGAGGAGGGGGTGGAGGTGGAGGAGGTGGTGGAGGCAGAAGGGACATGGGAGGGAACATGGGGGGCCGAGGCTCTCACCCACAGGGGGGCCGCGGGACCAGCCAGCCTCAGGAAGGGGGCTGGATCTCGGTGCCCATCTCCAAGAACAGACCCATCGACACCAGCCTCCTCAGCAAGATCACCAAGGTAACGTCCAGGTGTTAGTTTGCATTTTTGTAGTCAGTCTTGGGTCAAATATCCTTGTTTTTATCATATCTTGGTTTTATTTGTGAAGTTGAAGTCAAAACGGTTGACATTTGACTCCTTTTTCCTTTTTTTATATTATAATGTCAAGTAAGTCTAGTCAAAATATTTCGTAATTTCTTTCTCCCACGCCGTGCCGTTGCCCTGTAGCTTTAACTCATTTACTCTGAGTCATGCTGACTAGGGCTGCACGGTATTGAAAAAAACTGACATCGCGGTTTTTCCCCCCCCTGCGGTATATATTGCGTTTTTTTTAACCTGTTAAACCCCAAAGTCCCGGCGGGTACTTTACTTTTTTTTTCACGACAGTGTCTCAGGGGATCGTGATATTTAAGAACCTATTAATGTGTTATACCAGATTAACGGAAATAATCTCAGCTAACTGACGATACAAACCATTTTTACCAAAACAAAACACAAGTCTCATAAAAAGCATCTAAATTACCCCTGAGCGAAAAATACTAACGCACTTTGGCACAGAACTCAAGATAAAAGTACCCTTATTATTACTTTTCGTAGCTGCACTTACAAGATATCCGATTAAAGCTGTGGTTCCACAGATTATTTAGGTATATAGTATCATCACTGAGTGATCTGAACTCGGACAGGGGAAGCTAACACAGACATCACAACACGTACCTTTACGTAGCTTCTAAGGGAGATGTCTCACCGTAGCTGTCAATCTGATCAAAAGACGTGTTCAATGGCATTACAACGAGAAAGAAAAACGCGGTTGAATCGGTTAATCCATAGGTTTTTAACGTCTCTGTATAAAAAAAATGATTTAATTTATAATCCATAATTCCATTTTTATGTAAATATCGCAGAGCAAAAGTTAGCTGCTAATGGTAGAGTGGCTGCAGCTTCCAGTCTTGGCTATGTGGCAGTCTAACACACACACATTACCAAATAAGGAGTGAGAGTGACGCGTAGCCAAAACCAGAAGCTGCATACACTCTGGTGGCTACCATTAGCAGCTAACTGTTGTGCTCCGATTTTTACATAAAAATGGAATTATGGATTATAAACAATTGCTTCAAAGCCACAGATACATTATCAACCTATGGATCAACCGATTCAGCCGCGTTTTTTCTTTCTCGTTTTAATGCCATTGAACAAGTCTTTTGATCAGATTGACAGCTACGGTGAGACGATCTCCCGTAAAAGCTCCGTAAAAGGTACGTGTTGTGATGTCTGTGTTTGCTTCCCCTGTTGCGAGATCGGATCGCTTAGATACTATACTTAAATAATCTGTGGAGTCTCAGTTTTAATCGGATCTATTGTATGTGCAATTTCGATAAGTAATAAGGGTATCTTTATTTTGAATTCTGTGCTAAAGTGCGTTAGCATTTTTTTTTTTTAAATGAATATAACCGCACGTCCCTGCGGTGTGAATACCGTGCATGCGCATACCGCGGTTATCGCCATGACACGGTATATCGTTCAGCCCTAATGCTGACTGATATGAGCGACCTGAAATGGCGACACAGCAGAGGACATGAAGCTGCTGCTTTGACAATATTTTGTCTCCTTTTTTTCTTGTCAAATGAAATTATGATTTTGGTTGATTTTATTTTCTAAACTACAATTAAGTGACTTGTTTTTTTTACCATATGACATGTTAATATTGTTACAGTTTTGACGTCAGTGCCAACTCGTCATCGCCTCGTTCTAGTCAAGGTCAACAAGCATCTTTAGTCATAGTTTTCTTTAACAAAATAAGCCTTTTTAAGGTATTTGTCATAGAACGTTCGTCTCTGAAATCCCCGTTTCAGGTTTTCACTTGAACTCAACGCCTTGTCACCTGTCAGTAATTCCAATATATTGTTTGAGGCCTCGAGTGTTTTTTGAATGCAGCGTAAGAAATTGCCCCAATTCTTTTTACAGTTATCTTTCTCAATTACAACCTTTTTGAACGAAGCTGTGTTCAGATAAATCTGATCTTTTAAGACTAGCATTTGACTGGTTTGTTAATTTAAATGTTGTTTTGACCTTCAGCCTGTTTCTCTGGACTTCAACAATCAGCTGCTGGCTCCAGGGGGGAAAGGCATGTGGGGCAGCTGGGGCAAAGGCAGCAGTGGAGGAACCGGAGCCAAACCAGCCATCGGAGAGCCGGGTAAAACACCTACTTAAAAAAGACAGTGTGGTTTTAGGCTTTTTTTAAGTGGCTGAGTGTTAATCTGTCCTTTTTTAACACTTTTAGAGCCTGGTCGTCAATCTACCAGCACCGTCAACCGTTTCTCAGCGCTGCAGCAGTCTGGCTCCGCGCCGTCTGCCACGGACTCTGATCGCAGAGCTCCTCAGAGGTATTAACTGCTGCAGATATTGTCTCATCAAGGGAACAAATGTTGTATTTTTTTCTTTTGTCTTTTTTAGATCCTTCACTTTCTACCAGAGTAACTGTCATTGTTTATTCAGAGAGTTTTTGGACACTTCATGAGTAATGTTGACCTGTTTTAGGTCAAGCTCGAGCCGTGAGCGTGGCGGGGATCGCTTTGAACCATCGGATCGCAGCGAGGGACGGGGGGGGTCGTGACGACAGCAGCAGTCGCAACCAAATCAGCAAGAGGAGCTTCAGCAGAGAGTCTCAGGAGCGCGGCGGGAGGACCGGAGACCTGCGGTCGGCCACTGAGGCGGTGCGGCGCGTCGCCAGCATGACTGACGACCGGGACCGAGGAAGCCGAGATCGTGGTAGTCAGGATCGAGGCAGTCGGGATCGAGGCAGTCGGGATCGAGGCAGTCGGGATCGAGGCAGTCGGGATCGAGGCAGTCGGGATCGAGGCAGTGAAGACCGGGCCCCAAGCAAAGAGCTCCCAGGTGAACAACCCAGTGAGCTAAAGTGAAGATTTGAAATAGATATGATAGACAGGCGTCCTTTAGGGATAGCTGCATAAACAATGATTGGAATAATATTTAACCCTTACTGTATCTTTTATCTCTGCAGTTAAGCGTGAGAGCGCACCCACTCCTCCTCCTACTATTTCAAAACCTGCCTTGAGTGAAGATGAGTTGCAGAAGAAGTCGAACGCAATCATCGAAGAATACCTCCACATTAATGACTTGAAGGTATGAACATGAGGCCGTGCGAACTGGCATGCACCGAAATGTATTTGACCTCAATGTACCCTTATAATCAGGCAATGCTTGGTATTCAAACCGCTTCCAATGGCCAACCTCTTGTGTCTTGTTTTGCTGCTGCAGGAGGCGTTGCAGTGCGTGACTGAACTCGGCTGTTCCTCGCTGCTCTACGTGTTCGTGCGGAGCGGCGTGGAGTCGACGCTGGAGCGCAGCACCATCGCTCGACAGCACATGGGCATGTTGCTGCAGCAACTCATAAAGGCCGGCGCACTGCCCACGGAGCAGTACTACAAAGGGTGAGCATGGAAAAAGATGTTGATACTTACTCTTTGACCGATGAGAATGTGTGTTTGAAGTGAGATTAAATGCTGTGTTGTTTTTGGGGACTGCAGGTTAGAAGAGACCCTGGAGATTGCTGAAGACATGGCCATAGATATACCTCACATCTGGCTCTACCTGGCTGAACTCATCACCCCCGTGCTCCATGAGGGAGGCATCCCTATGGGACAGCTCTTCAGGTGGGCTACAGCAAAAATAATTGAATCAAATAAGTCAAAATATCTTGGTATAAAACGTTGGTTGAAATGTTGAATACCCTATAAACAGTCATCAAACTGTTTTTTTCAAATAAATAGGGATGTTAGGTAACATTTCTAAGGCAATCTGACAATCAGATTTTACACATTCAGTAAAAAAGACAAACTGATAGTCACATCACTTGTTTTGTCAGCTTCTCAATTAAACTCTCGTCTATCATTCACCCTTTTTCACTTCAATCTACTCACAAATCAACATACCTTTTTGCCTTGAGTGTTACTGGTGTCCCTGAAAATGGTAGTAAAAAGACAACTAAATATAAGTGAAGTCCAAATCAAACGCATAACTCTGTTTGTGTGTGGTGTGTTCAGGGAGATCTCTAAGCCTCTGGTGCCTCTGGGCCAGGCCGGCGTTCTGCTGATACAGATCCTCAAGCTGCTCTGCAAAGAAATGGTACGTCTCACATCAATATTGAACATTTTGAATGTAAACTTTAACATCTGTGTCATTAGATCCTGTTGTTCCTAATCTTAGTGAGTTTGGACACTGGATTGAAGTTTGTTTTTTCCCCATCAGACCCCTAAGAAGGTAGGGGCCATGTGGACAGAGGGGGATCTGAAGTGGAGTGAGTTCCTGCCCGAGGGCGACAACGTCGACGAGTTTGTCACCGAGCAGGTCTGTAGAACAAACTATTTATTCTGTGTCCTCTCCCCGTTTAGATTTCTGGAGGCATTTTATCAGGAGTATATTTCAAAAATACCTTTACACAATCATGTGGAAATCAGACCTATAATGTGCCTATACTTGTCTGGATTACATGTGATGATGAAATAAAGATATTTCATCAAGGATAAAACAAATGCAGACCTTATGCCACACCCACCTAAGCCTCAGGCTCTTGTGTGTTTCGGGTGTTTACGTTTATAAGAGAATAACAAAAGTAATGAGAGGGCGACTGTGGCTGCGAGGGAGTGCGGTCGTCTTTCAACCAGAAGGTTGTGGGTTCGATCCCAGCCCGTGCAGTCAACATGTCGATGTATCCTTGGGCAAGATACTTAACCCTGAGTTGCTCCCGATGGCATGGCCAACGGTGTGTGAATGTGTGTGAATGTTAGGTCCTAGAGCAAGTGGTACCGCTCAGTATGAATGGGTGTGAATGGGTGAATGACATGTAGTATGTAAAGCGCTTTGAGGGGTCGTAAAGACTGGATAAAGCGCTATATAAGTACAGTCCATTTACCATTTAATGATAACTGGAATTAATATGAATAGGTAACAAAACAAATATACATGGATTCATCTGGATATATGCTGTAACCTTTTAGAAATGTGAAATCTTAACAAATAAGATCAAACGACCTTTGTTTCAAGAGTCTGGAAAATGTTTAGGTATCTTTTTAAAATGGGAATTGTACACTTAAGAGCTGTAGAAAGTACGTTTTTACAAGTTGATCCCTTACAAGAATCTTCAATTGTCTGTATTTCTGTTTTATTTAGAAAATGGAGTTCACCATTGGAGAGGAGACGGAGGAGAAGAAAGACGAGGAGAAGGACTTCTTCACTGGAGAGGAGATCAGCAAACAGCTGGACAGACTCATCCAGGACAAAGCCAACAACCAGCGCGTCAGAGACTGGGTCGAGGTGGGACATACTTCCTGTTTTACTATACATTAGATATCCTATTTGTTTTATGCCATTGTTTTCCCTGTTGAACTGATATTATTCTTTTTCTTTAGGCTAACTTGGACGACCAGCTGACCACTTCCAACCAGTTCATACGAGCTTTGATGACGTCAGTGTGTCAGTCTGCCATCATCTGTAAGTGTGTTTAGGCTATAACGGATCCTAAACCTTTACCTGATGGTCATCACTGATTGTCTCCTCATCACAGCATGTTGAAACTGTTTCACTATTACTGATGTGTCGCTGTTCTGTGTTTATTAATTGTAGATTTAATTTTGCAGCCCTCTAAAGAACATTTAATTGAGAGTTTGTCTCTCCTTGTTCCAGGTGACACCCCGTACCGGGTGGATGCTAAGCAGATCGGCCAGAGGGCCAGTCTGCTGCAGAGATACCTGTGTGACGAGCAGAAGGAGCTGCAGGCGCTCTACGCCCTCCAGGCTCTGATGGTGCACATGGAGCAGCCAGCCAGTGAGTAATGATGTTCATCTCCTGTATGTAGAAGTTATTTATCTTCGCTAAATTATATCCTCACCTTATTCAAAAATGGCTCAATAATCACACTGCTTTTTCACGGTTGTATTCATTTACTGTCATCTTTCGGTGTGGTTATGAGGCTGGTGCCATTTGTATTTTATGCATTTTAATATAAATGGTTACTATGATCATTTTCACCTCTCGTGAGAATTACAGTTTGGGTCACAATTAAACATTTTCTAAAAAGGATGAAATGAATAGGAGGGAAGAGTCTAGATTTGACAGCAAAAAGACTCCAAAAAGTACAGTCGGTGTTAACAGACAGTTGTGTTAACACCGACATGCATCACAGACGCAGCCTGAGGTTATATTTACTGCAGGAAGGCTTGTGTAAGCTTTCATCCTCTGCAGCAAACAGTTTTTCATTAAGACTGGCAGATCAGGGCTGACCTCTGTGTGCTCTCTCTGCAGACCTGCTGCGGATGTTCTTTGACGCCTTGTACGACGAGGACGTTATCAAAGAGGAGGCCTTCTACAAATGGGAAACCAGCAAAGACCCTGCGGAGCAAACAGGCAAAGGTGTGGCCTTAAAATCAGTCACCGCCTTCTTCACCTGGCTCCGCGAGGCCGAGGAGGAGTCTGACAAAGAATAAAAAGAGTGAACTGAAAGCTGCCGCCCCCCTTTGGCGACGACGTGGGGGCTCTGCAGGCGGCTGCAGAGAGTCATGGACATTATTGCCATAGAGGCAGACTCAAATCAATCCTCAATGAGGATAAATCTTTATTATTTTTTCTTTTCTTTGAGGGATGGACTCAGAAAACAATCATTTCTCTCTACCTTCCCTCTCTTGCTTCCTCATTATTCCCCCCACCTGCTTGTCACAGCAAGTGTCCTCATCAAATAAACTTGAAAACTGATGCAGCAGGATTGCTTGTTAACGAGGTGTGAAGTATCTCACATCAGAACTGTTTTCTCACAATAATACAAACCAACAGGCTGCTTTTTTATGGTTCTAGATCATTCTAATGCCTAACATCCTATCTGATCTTTAAGAATAACAGCAGGGCGTGTGGTGTAGTGGTTCCCTGAAACGTCATGCCATAATGTGTGTTCAACCCAAACTCAGCTCTTATGTCTTTGTCCCTTACTGGAGTGTGCAGCATGACTGAAGTGTGTTTCTATTAATGATACAGTGGACGAAACGTCGATAGACAAATGTACATGAACTAATCTTAATTTGTTGGATGGAGTTTTTAAAGCAAAGGTTGTCTATTTTCTCTTCCTGTTTCGCAACATGAACTTACAAAGGACAGAAACATGGAGGACCGGTGTTGATCTTTGACCTTCACTACTGGGGGGGGGGGGGGTATTAATGCTTTCTCTAAGCCATCCTCTCCCATCCCCAGTGGTGAGCCACACTGACTGACTTCTCATCTTGACCTCTTCTATACTTAAACCTGAGCTGTCGTAGAGGACTAATGACCCAATCACCCTTAAAACTTGAAATCTACAGATAATTGACTTGATGAAAATATATAAAGTAAAAAAAAAAAAAACAGCAACACAGAAATGATCCGAAAGCCTTTTCTACATCAAGTGGAAACTTATTTCAGGAGCGTTCTGTAAATATATAATAATAATTATAAAAAACTTCTTTTTTCAGTTTTATTTTTCAGAAGCGATGAATTGCTGATTTAATTGCAGTGTAACCTTTTCCAACAGAAACCGCAGTTATCCGGATGCAGAGGTGCTTTAGATAATCCATTGATTATTAGTTGTATTGGAATTTTGTAAATATTTTTTTGCTTTCTTTATTTAAGAAATTGCTTCTTTTGCATCGGAAACTGGAAAGATGAGGTAACAGAACATTGCAAATAAAGGACTTATTGCTGAGAAGAGTTTTGCATGAGTCTGTCTGAAGCGTGTCCAATACCTTGGATTTATTGTTTGTGTGGTTGTACAGAGACTCTCCAAATCTATGACCTTTCCTTTCTTTACTGTAAATAGTCAAATGTAATGACGTGATATTATAAAAATAACTGGTAGAAGATCGCAGCACAGTCAATATTATAAAGACAGGAGAACATCTAAAGATATAAGCTAAAGTCACCAGCCTTAGGTTAAGAAAATGATACTTCAGTATGTTTAGTAAACTGAGTTCAGATTGATGAAAAAGGGAAATCGTAGGTTTTTATTTGGAAATGTTTTGTCTGTGAGTACGTTTTTTTTGCATATAGAAAATTGTAATTCAGGAGAGGAAAAGTTGGAGTGGTTCCTCTGAAGGTTGCATCATGGCTGCATTAGCCCACTAGGTCACCTTGGAGAAAATGGGCTGTAGACCCCCCCACTGAGCCCTCATTTTCCAACTGAGTGTATGCAGTCTGTTGTCTGAAAACAAACACATACACTGTAGCTTCAGTATATTTTATATATTAATAAAATGTCAAAAAACGTCAGCATTAGTATTATTTTTCTGTTATGTCCATTTATTTTTAATTTATTAAAATATAATAAGGGAATATCTTATAATTATTCATAATGTAAATTAACTTTAACATTGAGCCAAAAATATTTGCCAGAATAAAAATTACAACAAAATGTAAAAAAAAAAGTTTTAAAAATAACCAATAAAGCTTAGAAGGCTTAAACATACCTAGCCTACTTATATTTATATTATTATAACATATTGGAAATAACAGGAGCATGAAAACAAATGCATTGTGATAATGAAGGAAAATAAGACACTTGATAAAATAAGATACAAATATTATACATGCACATAAGTGGGTTAAATTCGCTTTTTTATAATAACTACTTTTTTAAAGATATTTCCAGCGTTTTCTTGACATCAGACTGCAGTGGATTCCGCACATTAACCGCATGCCCCCTGCAGAGTCTGTTTACCTCACCACTGCGGAAGTGTGCGGTAAAGTAGCCTAAAATCAGAGCAACAACTAAAAAGAGAGAATAATAAAAGAAAAGCAAAAACCAGCAGCAGAGCTATCCGGGGCCAAATCTGCAGGTGACTGTATCTTGATGCTGTCTGCGGGGAGGAAGGGGGGAGGAGTGGGGGGTGGGGACATAGATGTGACACCGCCTCGCGCTGATGACGCTTACCATCGGGAGACATTTGGACAGCCAAGTAACCCACATAGCGAGCAACAAATGGTGCGTCTGAGCCGGAGACCTGATGCTGGAGACAGGAGCATGGTGTTCCCGCACCCTGAGAGCCATTGATGCTGCAGAGCGAGCTGCACGGGGACAGCCGTCATCTGTTGATCGGATTGTAGACAATTAAGCGCATTATCATGATGAGCGGTCCCACTTACAGGTAGGATCATTACAGAACATCGAGCAGCGCTAGTGAAGGGGGCGTTCAGGGCAGGGGGGTCCGGGGTGTTTACCCGATGCAGGTCTGGAGACATTGGTATGCAGATGCAGACTTCAGAGGTTGCCTGGAGACCTGCTGCTGCATCTTGTGCGTTATGTTCCCATAATTGAAGGCTACAGGCCTGCAGCAGTCAATGGCGATGATGTGTTGTTCAGCCGTCAGCGTGTCGCTTCTGTTGATTGAATTTCCTGAAAAAAAATCAGCACTGCGTTTCCATCCATACAGATTACATATATTACAGATACAGTTTGACTGCAGTCGACCCCACTTGTTGGTCCTGCAGGGAGAAGTCACACCACAGGCTGACGATCACCCTGTGAGACATGTTTAGTCATGTTTGTGTCAAAAGAAAGGCACACTGCTGTCTGCCTCTGCAGGTAGGCTACAAGATAATCAAAATATGAATGTGTAAAGGTCTTTAAGCAGCATGATCACAATTGCAAATCGTGCTACATGTTGTGTTTTCAGGATAAATGTCATTTAGCAGCATGTGTATCAGCTGACAATCAGCATGTTGAAGTGGGAGTCTTTTTAAAAAGCAACATCACATAGATGCTTCAGAGAGGCCAAATCGTGCAGGTTAAATGGTTCAAAAAGAGAACAACAAGCAAATATAAAAGGGAGTGTCACAACACATTTGACTGCTTATCATTTAAATGATTGGTTAATCTTTTTTTTTTTTCGAGTCATCAAGGCTGTAAATAGTGAATATATTTACGGAAGTGGTTCCAATAATGGGGTCCAGACACCTTAATTGGGTCACAGCCTATATCTGAGTGTTCCCAAGATAATTAATTATAGGACTGAAACTAATAAATATTGCAAGTTCCTGAGGAATACGCCGATTATTTTCTAGATTCACAATAGTTTCATCTAGGCTATAACATCTCATAAAATTGGGGAAATGTTCTCAAGTCAAAGGTGATGTCTCTAAATGTCTTGTTTTGGTAGTCCTAAACCCCATTTCTAAGAAGAGACAAACCCAAAAAAAGCAGGAAATATATTTGAGAGTCTGGAAACAATCAGTTTTCAAAATAGTTTGCTATTATGTTTTCTGCCAATCAACTTATTGTCGCAGCTTTAACTGATTGCAACGAACGGAGAAAAAACAATCATACAACATAGATTTTTTTTTAAATCGTCTGATTCGTCTCTAATTTTGCTCTTTTCTTCTCCCAACCTTGTTAACTTGGTAAAATTATCAAAATTAAACATTCAGAGAGGAACATTTCAATTTGACAGTGAATATATTTTTGTTTCGAGGAGACACAGACTGAAAAGGTATGGAGGGGAACTGCGGTGTGACAGTGTGTGTAGGTGGTGACAAACTAGGCTAATTGGCACATGACCTAAAAATAAGCTGATTTAAGTGTATCTTCTTCTGTCAACATGTTCTAAGATGTCCACGGTGCTGAAAGTCTTGCGGTGTGTTTATCACTGTGGAGCATGTCAGACGTGTGCTGAGCTCACAGGAGTGATTTGCAGCGTTGAACGTCACCCGGTCGTCACATCGCTGCCCCCTCACTGTGGGCCTCTGACACATATTTGATTTCTGACTTCAACGTAAGCCATTAACTGCAGGAAGGAGCCTCTCCTGTGGGGATGATCTGCTCAGGGATATCTGTCAAGTCATGCACATGCTCAGTTTGTTCAGGCAACATGTTGTTGGACTCACCTAACCTTCAAAATAAGACACATTCCCAGCAGATTTAGCCGAGCAACCAGATCGACCTCCTGCAGCCATCTGTGTCTTTGTTCTTGGTCGAGTAGTTAGTAGGGTGGCAATATCACTTTTAATATGGATCAGCTGGCTGGAGCTGCTTAACAGAGCCGGTCAAATGTCATATGTCAGCCCAGTGGCTCGAAGAGTGTCCGCCTGCCTTCAACTCTCTCATCCACGACCATTGTAACAGGTTCCTTTCGGCTTACAGTGGCTTTAGCAGCTGTTGCAGTTAAATGTAGGGCATAGCTGTTTGCTCGTCTGCCTGGTGGTTTAAACCAGACAACTCGAGCTGTGACTTTCAGTTGTGTGGTTGCTGCGTTTTGCATCAACACTGTACAATGAGGCTGAAACCCAGAAGTAGAGAAACAAGGGAGATACTGAGAGAAGAGGTAGGAAAAGTATCTTTTGTAAAGCTCTGTTTGGGATGGAGCACTTATTCTGGCATGAAGGCCCAAACGTGTTTGTTTGTGATTCATATTTGAATTTTAGCTTTTCATTGACATGCTTTTAGAAGGTTTCTCACAGTGTAAATATTGGCCTGGTAAACATTTACTGTTATGTGGAAATCCTGGAATAACTGACTAGTGCTGGGTGTGACCCAACAAAGTTAATTTGCTGCTTGTCAAACAAGGAGTTTTGCTAAACGTCTAATCTGTTTTACAGGTGAAATCTGAGGAGAGTGAAATGATTCCGAAGTCAGGAAAATCTCCAGCAGACTCGAGGAAAAGTGTTGGCATCCATGAGTTTGCAGCACTTGCCAGATCCTCCTTAAATGGTATTTACTTGATTTCAACCGTTTATACTTGATGAATGAATGTCTAGAACTAAAACATCTCCTCTCTGTGTTCAGGTATCTCTCAGGCAGTGAGGGACCATGTGACCAAGCCCACCTCCCTGGCTCAGGGCCGGGTCGCCCACCTCATCGAGTGGAAAGGTTGGCCCAAACCTGCAGAGCCGCCGCCAGGCGCTCACTTCAACTCCTACTGCCATCTGAGCGAGGGAGAGAAGGAGGCACGCTTTGCTGCAGGTATTCATTCTGCCACCTTCAACCAAGGATAAGATTTGTATCCAGCTTTAGTGTTTAACTAGCTGTTTGCGTAGGCATGTCATTTACACTGGGGATGCTGGGGACCCACCACTTTTGAATATGGCTGATTACTTTTTTCAGTCAAATGTGCACAAAAAAACAACTATGCACCAAGAAATGTTAACTTAAAAACGTTCACAAAGATGTATTTGCACAAGGAGAATTCATAAAAGGAAATCTAAATACAAAAACTCATTATTAAATTACAAAAAAGTAACTTTAAGCATTTATTGAGATAGTTTCTTGATATTTTAAAATCTTCTGACCCCTCATGTCCGCACTACTTTTGAACACAGAGGGCCACCCTTAGGGCACTTGCCTCCTCTTGCTTAGCTCGGTTTAGCTCCAGTATACTCTCCTGTCAGTCGGCTAATCCCCCGACCCTCCTGCCTGTCAGCGGTCCGCCCCGCCCACCACGCTGTCTCCGGGGTGATGTCTTGTATTGGCAGCAGATGGTGGCCTATTAGACTCTCTCCCAGAACACTTCGCTGCCCACCGACGGTATGACCGCTCCTGCTGTTTCACTGTGAGTCATCCTCTGTGGTGCCGGCGACATCAAGGGAGGGAGAGAGGGATAAAGAGAGAGGTCGTGACGGATGATTAAGTATTTTTTCTTCACACTTAGATCAAAGCTCCAAAATAAGTTTTTTAAAAAGCTTGTGATAAGCTGAAACGAATAGTCGTCGATAATTAGGTATAAAAAAAAAAATCAACATAGAGTTTTTGATGATCAATAAGTCACCTTGCTCTTAAATAGATACCATCTTCTTAAATGTAATTATTTATACGTTATCCTATATGGCGAGCTCCACGTCACATTCTATATGCAAACGAAAAGTTAAGACGTTTAGCCTATAAATCGTTGAACCAATGTTTACACTGAAAAACAATGTGCTGCGATGATATCACATAGGATTGAAATATGGCTTTAAAATTGTTTCATGAAAATAAAATACACACATCCATTTTAGGGTCTTAACAAGGACTCAAACACACTTACACTTATTCTCATAAAGATACAGCCAGTTTTCCTCCGTTCACTCGGAGCTTAAGTGTTGTCCCTTTATCGGGCTAGAATCTCGTTAAACACACAATTAAATTCACATAGCAGAAATGTAGAGGCAGTATAAGTGACAGACAGTCGACGTTTCCCTTATTAAATCAGCCCCTCTAAAGCCAAACCAGGCAACATGTGCAACATAGAGTTTTTGATGATCAATATCAATGATCACCTTGCTCTTAAATATAGATATCATATTCTGAAATGTAATTATTTGAGGCTTTTTAAAGATCAAAAATATTATTATAAATTGAATATTTGGATGCATTTCTGTCTGTAGGTAAAACAAAATGTAACCTTGGGCTTTGGGAAATTGTGTAGTACAGTTTTTTAGACAAGGCTATCAACCAAATAATGGGCCCATTATAAAGCCCTAATGTTTACTTAGTCTGACAGGGTAGCAGTTTCACTCTTTACTTTCCTTATATAGACATGGCTGTCAGAGAAAATGAGATGTTTCTTTCTCCACTCTATTGAATACATTCATCTTTTAAACAAGTCACAACAAATCTGAGGGTGTCACAGGATTCAAAAGACAAACCGTTTTTTTATTTCCTTTTTATTATAGAAATCTGTGCATCTCTAAAAATTCAAATAAAACCAAGGAAAGACAATAACCCTATTAAAAGATGCAGCATTTCCTTATTTTAAGGTTGTCATAAATGTATTGGACCTGTTTTCTCTGCTAGGAGTGGCGGAGCAGTTTGCCATCGCAGAGGCTAAGCTGCGTGCCTGGGCGTCTATAGATGACGATGAGGAAGACTCCAATGATGAAGACTGCCACACCAACGGACAGAGTAAAACCTCCTCCAACGAGAGCTCAGGTATCCACAGTCTCCTCCATCTTGTTCATTTCATCATCTCCATCTTCATTTCTGCATCATCTAACAAATCGCCTTCATCTTCCCATCCCCCTCTCCCACTTTTCCATCCATCTCCAGGTGTTCTGACTCTTTGCTCCTCCCTCAGACGGCGCCGCGTCCCGTCCAATCAGCGCTGTGCCGAGCCAGCCTGAGGGCGAGGGTGTTGAGGCTCCGCCCCCCGACTGCCCCTTGTGCTCCAGCACTGCATCCCACACTGACCCTCAATCGTCCCAGACCAACTCTCTCACTCTACCCAGCGACTGCCTGAGCCCCTTCCTGGATGAGGAGGAGGAGAGGGTGGAGGGTCAGGAGGAGCCCACTGTTTCCCAGGAGCAATGCAACGAGGTCTGCATCCACAACAAGCCTGAGTGGAGACCCCGGGCCCGGAGCAGCAGGTTCGACTCTTGCTACTCCACCTCTCACTCCGAGTCTCCTGGAGAGGAGGACGAGGAGGACGAGGAGGAGGAAGGCAGCGTGTTTCACGAGTTTCGAGCGTGGCAATCCAGCCGGAGAAGCTTCTTCTCCGACCGCGCCTCATCCGGAGTGGCGTCCTTCGACGAAGAGGAGGAAGTCGAGGAGAAGAAAGAGTAACTGAAGTGATGTGTTGTCCATCTTTATGTCTCTTTGAGTCTGTGTTGATTCTGGATATGATGAGCAAATCGATTCTGCTTTCACTGTAAACCTCTCTCGTCCTCCTCTTCCCCTCCTCCTCTGATCATCTCCTCTCCACTCGCTGCCTTCTGTCTCTCATCCTCAAAGCCTTTCATGTTCTGGTCTCGCTCCGCCGTTTATCGCTGCCGTGAAACAGTATATTTATTGGAGAGTTCAACCAGAATGTAAAGCTGTTGTTCAATCTGAGTTTTGTACATCTGTTTGTGGAGAGTCATGTGTTGCATTGGTTTTCTATGGATATTTTGTAGTGTTGTTTTCTCTGGGTCATGCTGTGTCATGTGGGGTCGGGCTATGTTTGATACTGAATGTCTGAATGTCATGAATATATAAATAAATGATTTTTCTAAAAAGGAAGATTGTCTTTTTTTCCTTCACTAAACTGAACGTACAACAAATGAAAACAACTTCTGAAGGTGTTTTGTTTTTTATTTAGTCATTCACTCATGTACAAAAACAATTTCATGTCCTCTGAAAAATAACAATGGCTGTTGAATTTCAAATGCATAATTCTCCTATGTACAATATCATGTACGTAGATCTCATCCATGTATTTCCATATGCACAGAGCATATACAGGCCAGTGTGCCATATAAAGGGAGATACTACAGACTTATTGCTTAACTATATACGCTGCAAATTTGCTTATACACTCTCTACATTTAACTCCTTATATGTTATCCTATATGGCGAGCTCTACGTCACATTCTATATGCAAACGAAAAGTTAAGACGTTTATAAATCGTTGAACCAATGTTTACACTGAAAAACAATGAGTCAATGTGCTGCGATGATATCACATAGGATTGAAATATGGCTTCAAAATTGTTGCATGAAAATAAAATACATTCATCCATTTTAGGGTCTTAACAAGGACTCAAACACTCTTTGCTCTTTCGACAACAGAGGCCAGGCTGGATTACATTTACTCTCATAAAGATACAGCCAGTTTTCCTCGGTTCACTCGGAGCTTAAGTGTTGTCCCTTTATAGGGCTAGAATCTCGTTAAAAAAACAATTAAATTCACAAAGCAGAAATGTAGAGGCAGTATAAGTGACAGACAGTCGACGTTGCCCTTATTAAATCAGCCCCTCTAAAGCCAAACCAGGCTACATGTGAAGTAAACTATACTCATGCTAAATACAATGTGCTTCACCACTTTGGAGCCCTGTTACTAAGCTTGGTAGACCTTTGGAAGCAGTGGCGGTTCTAGACCAATTTTACTGGGGGGGGGCAGTTATTTCATGAGAGGGGCACAATAACAAGTGGGTTAAAAAGACAAAGACAGTATAAAGTAATTGTGTAAAATAAACATAAAATACAGCAATTGATATTTGTAAGATTATTTGTTTTAGTAAATGTAAGTTAGAGTCCTTTGTTTCAGTAGTTTTTTCATTCAGAATATTTGTTTTAGTAACTTTAAGTGACAATTTAATTAAAAAACATAAACAGTATTTGCTTTTATATAAGGTAATGAACAGTTTAACCTCCACTCTACATCCGGGACTCTGATTGGAATTAGTTCCAATCAATCGTAATATTGTAACCTTTTTTTTGGAGGGGGGCCACAGGGGGTTCCCTGGTCAGTGTTACGGGGGCACTGACCCCTGTTGCCCCCCCCCTAGAACCGCCCCTGTTTGGAAGTTGCCTTTGAACGTTAGATCTCTGCTGATTTGGGGATTTTCGATGTGACAAACCATTATTTGTTAGTAAATGATGTGTGGTAATTAAACAATGGAGTCCTGACAAACTAATGACACTGTTGCTATTAAACCCTCTTTTACTGCATTATTACTGTATATTTGTTGCATATCATCCAATACCTTTATGTATAAATATTATCAGCCACTTTCTAGTTTATTGGTCCACTGATAGTGAATAGGTAGTAGTTTCAATTCATACCATCGTGTGCTCATTTGTTCTTCTGTGCTTTCTTGTCTATTATTGTTCCCCCTCCATTATTTGTGCGTGACTTTTATTCTCTAAGTAATGTAGTTGAAGACATGATAACAGGATTTTATTTTTGGCATGAAGACTCAAAATATGTTAAAGAGTCCAAGATCTGAGCATGGAAAGGAAAGTGTCAAAATGTCTCACGCACACACACACACAAAACATACAGCTTGCAATATTCTACATTTTTCTCATGGTCAATAAACCCCATGAAAAGATAAAACTAGTGTATTTGTAGACCACCATAAAACAGAGCTAAAATGAATGCCCAACGAATGCACTAGTTACTTACGTTTGAGTAATATAGCCTACAGTACCCAGCTTGCTGAAGTGTTTAAATGAACGTCACATAAAGAGCGACATCATTAGATGAGCATAAGCTTTTGATTATTGTCCCCTTAACAGAGAGCTTTAAAGGTCGTTCTTGATCTCGGTTTTACTCAATTTAAAGACACACAATTTAACATCGGTAAGTGCTCAGTTAAAAAAAGGGAGATTTTAACATCTATTATTCCATGACGACTTAGCAAACTCCTTCTGTAGAGCAACATCAGGTGATACGTTCAAAATCTCAAGGCAACTTAAAACTGATATTTGTTCCTCCACTGATTGAGTATTGCACTCCTTGAACATTGTCAGTTACGAGGGACAGTCTAAATAAAGGTTCCACATTAATGCAGCAGATTGTTTTCTATCCAATTAATTATTCTTCCTTGTCAAAACCTGGTGCTTACATTACCCACTTATTCTAGCAGAGGCTAATGCAGCTGCAAGCAAAGAAGAGGAGCTATAGTGGTCTGGTCATATCACTTCTCTGTATCTCACTTGTCAATTGAATCGTAGTTCATGAAGGGTTTCTGAAGCCACAGAAGGTTTTATATAGTTTTTCTTTATATAAACAGTAGTACTCTCTGACACTGATCTCCAGTATTGGCCCCTCAGCTACGTGACCCACCGAAATGCGCAAATGTTGAGCTTTCTCATTACTTTTCGCAGCTTGAATTGGTTTTCATGGGATTTCATTGAGTTATAAAAATATAGAATACAACCAGCTTTCTCCTTTAAAACAGGCATTTGCACAGTTTGACAGAAACACATGATGATAATGATGTCACATGTACTCATTCTCACTCACTCGCTCACACAACAAGGTTAGAAACACGGTATCTAGGCTGGACTGGGAGGTGAGAGCGACCTCTACGAATGTAAGAAACGTCGATATTCATGATGCGTCAGCGAGGATCCCCTCGGGTCATTCTGATTGGGCCTTAGTGTGGGCGGGGCAAACCTCTCCCTCAGGTTCTGATTGGTCCTTGTTCAGAGACGGGCTTCCCTGATCCAGCTCCGTGTGGTCCGGCTCAGGAGTGTGTGTGGGGAAGTCATAGTCACAGGCCAGCTCCGACTCCTCAGTGTGGGAGGGGCTGCAGTCAAAAGTGAACTCTGATTGGTCCTCGGTGAACGAGGGGCTCTCCTGCAGCACCAGCTCTGACGACTGGCTCGAGGCGTCTCCGGGGCTCGCCTCAAACTGCAGGTTCGTTTGGTCGGAGAAGTTGACGGGGATCTCTTTGTACGCAAGGTCTGGCTGGTTCTGCACATCTGGACGGTTGGGTTCCCGTGGCAACGAAAGCCCCCTGTGGCGGAGGCACAGCTTGTGTAGTTCTGTTACCTCGGATACATTCGAGCTGTTCCCACTGTCACGGAAACTGGCCAGCGGGGGGCGCACCTTCACTCCAGTCACCGTCACCGAGCCCTCGATGGCCTTACGCAGCTGGAGATACAGAGTGACAGAAAAAGGCAGTGAATCAATTGTATAACAAAAGAAAAAGGAATGGCGAGAGACAAGGCGATAATACAAAACAGGGAAAATTCTCCATTAACTGAAACCAATTGATGCTACATTTTAAAAAGGAAAACTTAAAAACACACAACTCATGCAATGTAATCAAAGTCTGAATTATACAGTCGTGTGTGCAATCCACATACATCTTCCATAAAACCTTACCCAAAAAAAAGATTCTCTCTCTTTTTGTCCTGATTCTTTTATATGAAAACCTGTCTGAAAAATGAGCTGATCAGATCTTGGCCACTTTGTGATGTCATAATGTTTTTTTGGGTTGTGGAACCATTAGCCAATCACCAACCAAGGTAACCCCGCCCCCCCACCTTACCACCTGAATCTCCTCCTAGAGCACCATTACGTTCTTTTTAACCAAATATCTCTCAGAGGGGCGTGGCTCCTTATTTTCATCTAAAGTAACAGACAGAGAATCAGCACTTTTGAAACAGGGCTGAAACAGAGGGGTTGATGGGATGCTACAATGCGTGATCTGTTGGGTATTTCGAGCCAAACACTTCAGAGACATGTTTTGAATATATCTGAGACCTATAATACATTGTTGAGAATTAGCATAATAGGGGACCTTTAAATAAAAGATCATCATTTTAAGTATATTATAACAATCATATCAAAAAGAAATGTTTCAATCAGAAGCCTGAACAATTAAAGTAAAGACATGCAAACCTCTTTGAGAGAGACGACTCCAACCAGACGTCCCATGCTGGTCACGTAGGCGTGGTCCAGGCCCAGCAGAGAGAAGATAGTGTGGGTCTGTGGAGGGGCAGAGATTAATGACTTTTACTTGATTCAGAGAATAATCTACTTCTACACTAATTCTTCCACCACTGCAAAGCGCTCAAGAACAAATGAGTGATGAGTGAGTGTCCCTCCAGATGGTCATTTGGCTGATATTGTGCAGAATGATCCCAACATTAGTCAACGCATTAAAACACCATTAAGAATTACTTTATAATTAAAGGGTCATTAAGTACATTCAAAGCATCTTTCAAATAATTCAACTGGGGTTCATGGACCTCATAACACCTGCAGTTTTAGTGCCATGTCCTTTAAGCTGTAACACCAGGATAGCCCATCAGTCTGGTGATTAAGCCCACAATGAACTACATTTGTGTAGTACTTTAACACAGTGTGTAGTACTTAAACATAGTGTGTAGTACAAAAAATACACATGGTTGGCACATTTCCAGGGCGTTTATTGTTTAATATTCATATCATAAGTTGAAGTCAATGTCATGTAGGTCTTTTTTATAGTGTACCTTATGCAGAGATGTTTGCTCTACCAGCTGGAAGGGAGCGGGATCAATCTTGCAGTTCTTGAAATCCACCGGCTTGTCGAGCTGCTGCTCCTCCCACTCAGCTATCTGCAGGGAGAACGATAATGAAACAATTACACTTCTAAACTTTTTTATTCTACAACACAATTTAACAGTATTGTATTCTGTAAATGCAGCTCTCACGTCTGATGGAGTCATGCCATCTTCCGTATCAGTGGAGTCCTAAAAGACAGTCCAAAAATTGACAAGTAAGATGTACATTTACCCTGTTTGACACACACATACAAAGGTTTATATAGGCAAGGCAAGGCAAGGCAAGGCAAGTTTATTTATATAGCACTTTTCAACACAAGGCAATTCAAAGTGCTTTACAAAAAATGAAAGAGATTAAGAAAATGGCATTTAAAATCAGTCATTAAAAAGAAAAGCTAATAAAATAAACATTAAAAGAAAAATACATGGATAAAAGTTACAGTGCAATTAAACATTAAAAGAAAAAGTACATGGATAAAAGTTACAGTGCAGTCTAAGATATGAATAGTTCAATTAAAAGCAGCGACAAAAAGAAAAGTCTTCAGCCTGGATTTAAAAGTAGTAAGAGTTGCAGCGGACCTGCAGGTTTCTGGGAGTTTGTTCCAGATATTTGGAGCATAATAACTGAACGCTGCTTTACCATGTTTAGTTCTGACTCTGGGGACAGAAAGCTGACCAGTCCCTGAAGACCTGAGAGATCTGGATGGTTCATAATTTAGCAGGAGGTCAGAAATGTATTTTGGGCCTAAACCATTCAGTGCTTTATAAACCAGCAGCAGTATTTTGAAATCTATTCTTTGACACACAGGAAGCCAGTGTAAAGACTTCAGAACTGGAGTGATGTGATCCACTTTCTTAGTGTTAGTGAGGACTCGAGCAGCAGCGTTCTGAATTAGCTGCAGCTTCCTAATAGATTTTTTAGTGAGACCTGTGAAGACACCATTGCAGTAGTCGAGTCTACTGAAGATAAAAGCATGGACAAGTTTTTCCAAATCCTGCTGTGACATTAGTCTTTTAATCCTAGATATATTCTTTAGGTGATAGTAGGCTGATTTAGTAACAGTTTTAATGTGACTGTTGAAACTCAGGTCAGAGTCCATGACTACACCTAGATTTCTGGCTTTATCTGTTGTTTTGAACATTGCACACTGAAGCTCAGCGCTAACTTTTATACGTTCTGCCTTGGCTCCAAAAACCATTACCTCAGTTTTATCTTTGTTTAATTGGAGAAAGTTCTGACACATCCAGTCATTGATTTGTTCAATGCACTTACTCAGTGTTTGAATTGGAGCATAGTCTCCTGGTGAAATTGTTACGTAAATTTGTGTGTCATCTGCATAGCTATGGTAACTTATTTTGTTGTTCTTCATTATCTGAGCCAGTGGTAGCATGTAGATGTTAAAGAGAAGAGGCCCCAAGATGGAGCCTTGAGGAACCCCACATGTCATATTTGTCAACTCAGATGTGTATTTACCTATAGAAACAAAGTTGTTTCTGTCCTTTAAGTAGGATTCAAACCAATTCAGAACTGTTTCCGAAAGTCCCACCCAGTTCTCCAGTCGGTCTAGTAATATGCTGTGGTCAACAGTGTCAAACGCAGCACTGAGATCTAATAATACTAACACTGAAGTTCTGCCACTGTCTGTGTTTAAGTGGATGTCATTAAAGACCTTTACAAGAGCAGTCTCAGTGCTGTGGTTTGGACGAAAGCCTGACTGGAACACATCAAAACAGTTATTTAAATGCAAGAAATTACTCAACTGTTGAAAAACAACTTTTTCAATGATTTTACCTAGAAATGGGAGGTTTGATATGGGCCTGTAATTGTTCATTACTGAAGCATCTAGATTATTCTTTTTTAAGAGCGGTTTAATGACTGCAGTTTTCAGGGCCTGTGGAAAAATACCTGAGTGAAGAGATTTGTTTACTATATGAAGTAGATCTGAGGCCATGCAAGGCAAAACATCTTTGAAAAATCCTGTTGGAATAATATCAAGGCAGCAAGAGGAGGATTTCAGAAGTTGAATAATGTCCTCTAGGTTTTTATCATTAATCTGATGGAATTGTGTCATGATGTCTGAATTGATGTTAAGTGGAGATAGGGACAACACATTTGCTGTTCCTGATGCAGACGCACTGACTGCTTGTCTGATTTTCTGAATTTTGTCAGTGAAAAAGGAGGCAAAATCATTGCACGCCCTGGTGGATAGAAATTCAGAGGCTACTGACACTGGGGGGTTAGTTAGTCTGTCGACGGTAGCGAACAAGGCACGTGCGTTGTTTTTGTTTTTGGTAATGATGTCAGAGAAGAACGATTGTCGTGCGTTTTTCAATTCCAAATTATAAAGGCCAAGTCTCTCTTTATAGATTTCAAAGTGAACCTGGAGATTTGTTTTTCGCCACCTGCGTTCAGCTTTTCGACATTCTCTTTTTTCTGTTTTCACGGTCATGGCCTTTCTCCATGGAGATATTTTCTTGCCAGACACTTCCTTTACCTTAGTTGGAGCAATGGCATCTATAACATTTTTAATTTTTGAATTAAAATGATCTACTAGCTCATTTACTGAGATGTTGGCAGGGGCAAGTGTGGAAGAGAAATTCTGAGTAAACATTTCCCTAGTATTTTCAGTTAAATATCGCTTTGTGGTTACCTCTTTTTGAACATTTTTGTGAACAGAAATAGAGCTCTCAAAGAAAACACAGGAATGGTCAGAGAGTGCAACATCAGTCACCACAACCTTAGAGATATTCAGACCCTTTGAGATAATTAAGTCCAGAGTGTGCCCCTTATTGTGCGTGGGCTCCGTCACATGCTGAGTCAGTCCATAGCTATCAAGAACACAAAACAGTTCTTTAGCCCCTCTGTCCTGGGGGTTGTCAACATGGATGTTAAAATCACCAACAATGACTAGACGGTCAAAGTCAATACACACTATAGACAGCAGTTCAGTAAAGTCATCAAAAAAGCTTGCACAGTATTTGGGTGGTCTATAGATATTTAGGAACAGAGCTCGAGAGGAGCATTTCAGCCGGAGGGCCACATATTCAAAAGAATCAAAGTTTCCATACGATGTCTTCCTGCATTGAAGGGAATCATTGAACAGAATAGCAACTCCACCCCCTTTCTTATGCATTCTTTCCTGACTCATAAAACTGAAGTTGGGAGGGGTTGATTCGATAAGAACAGCTGCACTGTTATTTTGTTCAATATATACAATATACACAAAGTTACACCATTAAGTACACTACAAAGTGTACCAACACAAACACATTATGCGTGGGGGAAATCTGAAGGGGGGATCTGTTTGTTGCTGTGTGTGAAATACAGAGCTGTACGCAAATTAGTCACTTATAGAGTTTCAGAGGTTTACGCTGAGATTTGATTTATGGGTCAAACTGTTAACACATTTCCCAGAAAATTAATAACACCTTCAGCATTAAATTAAACACAAACAAACAATGACACGAAACAGAAGGCATATTAACAGCAGTTACAAAGAAAGCTGATGAGACACCTGTTTTACACTGATGTTGAAAAGACTATGAAACCTTTACAGCCCCATCTCTCTACTTCTCTGCAAAGCCACTCTGACGCTTTGTATGTTGCACCACAAATATTTTGGCCCAGCACTCACTACGTGCGTGTCGCAAGGCAACGGTTACTAAGCAACAGTCTCTAGGCGGTAGACAATCTTACCGCCATGGAGATCCGCACTCGTTTGGGCTTGGGTTGTCTTTGTTCAGGAGGAGCCGGCCCAGCCGGGCTCTTCCGACCGAGGAGAAGACATGAACACAACATTAACAGAGCTTCACAGTTTCCCCCTTTATGCTGCTGCAACATTGGTTCCCCGTCTGACTTCTACCAGGAGAAGTCACATGACGTGGGCACAATGTTGCTGAAAGCGTATAATTATTACAGTAGCCTACAGAAGAAGACAAGGGCAGACAATCTGTAATGAAACCCAATGTTAATACAACATGGGTTATACAATGCCAGGAAAAAGGGGTCTGAACACCACACATTTTTGTTTGGGACTTTAAGTCGTTGTGATTGTCTCTGTTGTCTCCATAAGGAGCTATTATGTTGAAAAATTGCACATTTTCACATACTGTTAAATCAGCTTTTGGTTTTCTGATGAAATGCCTCAACAACTGTTGTTGATTTATGTCTCCCTCAGGATAAACTGTAACAGCTTTGATGATCCTTTAACATCCCTCAATATCCATCAACAGGCTCACATTTGTCCAATAATGTGGTTTATCAAATAATACCTGCAAAACTATTGACAATCCAATTAGTAACACTTATTGTGTTCATTGCTTGTTAGGGAATGTAATGAACATGCTAAACATCAGTATATTAACATTAGCATGTTGATGTTAGCATTCATCTCAAATAACCACTGTAGTCTCAGTGTTCTTCATTACATTTAGCCGTGTTAAGACTTAATTAAGTCAGAGGGTGTTGCACTGATTTATTGTTCCTTACAAATCTATGTCGCTTAAGTTGGCATTGATGAATGACTCAATATAGTTATTGGTCAGGAAAAATGTGCGGGCAAACGCTTGGGAACCACATGCTGCATAACATCATGTTGAACACCAAGACTGAATGTTTGAATGGCTGCTTTGTTAAATCAAATTGAATTATGTTAAATCAGTTGTAGCATATTGAGTACCGGTATCTCCGCTATAAACTGAATTCATATCTTTGTAATTGAACAATGATTGACCCACCAGAGCATCAATATTGTTTAAGGGTTGAAAATACATAAAACACATTTCATACCCTTAAATTTGACCAAGAACTGTGAACATGCTGGATGTTCAAAATGAGAGGCAGTGACGGTGTTATGCAATGCCTTATACAGTAAGTTATACAACTAAACTGCACTGATGATAGCACACAGGAAAACCCTGCTGCCAGTGGGTGGATCCTGCCCGTCAGCAGGAAGAGGAGGAGGGCGGCATATGGTGGACTCAGAGAGAGCCCACGCCCACGTGTAAGATACGCGTCATATTCATACTTGCACCCACACATATCATATCCCGCGCTTTAACTCACCTCCATTAGCTCCTTATCGTGGTCAGCACAGGTCAAAGTCTGAGAACCTTGAGAGAAAAGAAAAACAATTTTTTAAAGCTTATTTGATGTTCCTGGAATCAAACGTCACTGTTACTCTGTATGTCTTAATGTGTGTGTGTGTGTGTGTGTGTGTGTGTGTGTGTGTGTGTGTGTGTGTGTGTGTGTGTGTGTGTGTGTGTGTGTGTGTATGTGTGTGTGTACACCAATGTTAAGTACATACTATTTGGCGTCTCTGTGTCGCCGATGGCGGACACAGTTTTCAAGGCAGATTTCAGAGGAAGCTGAGTGTTGGAAACCACCGGGCTGAAGGAGGCAGACTCCTCTGTGGAGATCTATGTGAACACAATATTAACAGGCGAAGCCACACACACACACGAGCACATGCAGATAAACAAACAGGACAGGTAATGGCACAGACGACAGAGACACAGAAGAGAAGTGTTAATGTTACCGTGGAAATAAAGCATTTTAAACAGTTAACAGTAATCACTTACCACAACAGGTCCATCTGTGCCTTTACCTACTGCTACATGCTTCACACATGCTGTGGTTGATCCACTCTATGTCTACTGCTAATAACCCAAGCCTTTTCCCCCAGCCCTGCCCTGGCGCCCCCGGACGCCTCACACCTGTTGGGTGCTCACCAGGAAGCGGACCGCTTGGCGCGCGCTGGTGGTGGTGGAGGCGTTGATGTGGGAGTGGGAGCAGGGGGAGCTGGGCGTGCTGTCGGTGGTGAGGCTGGACAGGTGATCGTGGGTGCCATTGTCCTGGGCCAGCTGGCGGAGGTACTCCAGCCTCTGCTGGTGGCCCAGCTGAACAGAGAGCAGCGACTGGAGCTGCAGACGCTCAATGGAGCCCAGCAGGATCATGGACTCTGAAAAAGAAGGAGCAGACAAACGTTGACAGAAAACATGTGAGGAAATTAGATAGAATTGGCTATGCAGAGGTAAAAGTGGAACATGGAATAATTGCTTTGAAGGGGTTGTGTCAGCATACGTTACAACCAAAGTCAGTATTAGTCTTAATTATTTTACTGAAACTAATACAACTTTATGTACTTTAAGTTTATTTCAATAATCTGCCCTTTTATGTTTCGTTTTTAATGTCTTTCGTTTTTGTATTACCTGTCCCTTTTTAACCCTGCTCACCTAATCCTACTTCCCCAAGTAGTCACAGTTTATAGCAGCCCTGTTCCTTTGTGGTGGCTGAAAGTAGCTTTGTTTGTCTGGAAGCTGCCTGCTGTTCCTGCTTTTTAAGTATCTTCATTAAATCTTCAGTCTCTGAGTCTGCATGAGGATCCTTTCTGCTTGCCTGCTCTCTAAACGGTCCTAAATATAACTTAAGCTTATAAGCATCATATTTTTAAATGAGATGTTGATTCAGCTTTATTACATTTGTGATGTTGTTGCATTCCAATGTGTTTGTATTAAGTAAATGTTTCTCAAATGCATTCTAAACTCATTTATATCAATGGGGGGAGAAACAAGGCACAACCTTCATGAAGATTTATCGCAGGATTCTTTAATTAGACTACAGGATGACTGAGTGTACTGTATCATTTAAATGATCATTTATTTTGTAAAACGATTTAAATAATCTATAAAAAAAGGGTGAACTCATTTCAGCTGAATAACAATTGAGCAATTCATCCTGAAAAGGCCGGGTCTCACACCTGAATGATTGTTGCATAAAAAACAGTCAATTACCAAGTTTTTGTTTGGAGTTTTCCTGGAACAGACAGTTCAGTGTCTCTGTAGTATTATAATGTTACATGCTGAGATTTGTTAAGATTGATTTGGTTTGCCATGCACTTACCCCTGGACTCAACCAGTGCCAGAGTCTTGAGCTGACCAGTCAGCAGCATCTCCTGCAGGTCCCGGTAGCAAGAGTTCAGAGTGATGTAACGCACATCCCTGACCATAATGTCCTCCACACGGATATTATACTTCCTGAAACACGAGAAAAGGGAATCGAGAGGTGTTGATGCAAGAGGGAAGGAAATGAAAGGCGAGAGAAGAGATACAAAACAGATGAGCGCACAGAATCACACTGATAATAACTAAATATAACTCCATCTGGTCGTTTTATTGAAAAACAAACAGGTGGGTAATGACAAACACTCACTCTTGATGTCCCATGCCGAGTTCAGGCAGATAAGGGAGTTTCTTGATGCGGATGATGGAGTCGTACAGCGATGGTTGGAGCGACTGGGCCACGGCGTTGGCCAGGATCACAGCGATCATCACAGGCAGGATGTGAGAGATCTGACCCGTCAGCTCAAACACGATGACCGCTGTGGACACCGTGTGGGTGACCGCTCCAGACAGCGCTGCAGCACCTGTGCGGGGGGGAATCATAGAAGAAAAATGTCTGTCTTGTGTGTGTGATGAGGAATCTTTGTAAACATGAATAAAAGAGTAAACAGATTATGTTAGAAAAATATCACTCGTCACCGGCTTGAGCTTCAATATCAGGATACATGTATTTATTATCCTTGCAAGAATGGAAGTAGTCATCACATACAAAGTTGCATGGGACAAAATAGTTCCCCGAACAGTGTCCTTCACATGCTTATATACAAGAGAGGGTGTTACACAGTGACAAAATGCAGGAATACCGGTACAAAGCAGTATACAATGTTTAGTTTTAGATTAGCTAAGACCCACGGCAGAAATGATCATTCTTGTCATAATGTCTGTCTCCATAGAGGCTGAATCATCATGTTAATCACATAGCTATCATATGTCTAAAACATTGTGTCCTGACGCTCTTCTAGGTAATCATACATCCTGTTACGTACACAGCTACAGTTGGGCCTTTGTTATCAAATACATTCAGTATTTTCCCAACAGTTTAATATCTGGTGTTAAATGTACAATGTATCTGTGTTTTAATCATCAGAGAAGGAATGCTTCATGACAGCAAATCCAAACCAGATTTTCTGCAGGATGTCGTTCTAATTCATAACATTTAGCGCCACCCTGTCACACTAACCAGTGAGCCACGACCGTGGCAATTTTGTATCAAACGATTTTCTATTTTACTTTGGAACAAATGTAGTGTTCAACTTAAGTGGAATCAGTTTTCATCAATCTTATTCTATAAGCTGGCATGAAGTGATACGAATGGTTGCAGCTTCGCAGCGGGGACAGTTTCAATTACACAGAAGAGAAGAAAAGTGGCTTGGAAAAATTATTATGAAGACAAATTAGAAACAAAATGAATTAAGGTACAGTTTGTAAAACAATAACATAACTCACCAACTACAGCATAACCGCCGGGAACTATGGGATACACGCTGCCATCAGCATGTATGCCATCAGGAAACATGGTTGCCATGACCTCTCCAACAAGTCTGCCAAATCCTGCACCTGCTCGTTGCACAAAGAGAGAAGTTATTTAAAAAGGCAAGATTGTGGCTTTATCGAAAGTGCAAAGTAATTACGTAACAAAAGGACATTCAAATACAATCAAGACAGGTATAGAATACAAGAATAAAGGTTACATTGAAGTGAAATAAATCAATTATTTGAGTCAATAAAAGGCCATCACAAATAGTCTTAACATATTTGGAGCAGTTTGTTCCATATATATGGTGAATAAAAACCGAATGCTGCTTCTCCATGTTGAGATTTCACCCCGGGACAGAAAGAAAACTTGTCCTAGACTACTTAAGAGGTCAGGGTGTTTTATAAAGTAGGAATACATATTATACTGTACATGTATTTTGGCCCTAAACCTTTCAGTGCTTTGTAAACCGACACGAGTATAAAGGAGGTTGTTACCACGGCAGTAGATTCGTTAGAAAACACTGAATAATTTACTCACCGATAAGAAACACTGGCATGAAGGCCCCGCATGGAACCGGCATGGTGGTGGCCACAGCCGACATCCAGAACTGAGACAGAGAGACAAGTGTGTGTGACAATAAGTAAAAAGGAATCAAATCCTACACCGTTTCTTTCTATACATATGTCAAAAGCCTACCTTCATAACGATGAAGAGGACGAGTGTGATGAAGACGTTGACCTGCGGATGTTTCCAGCCGTTGTGGTGGTAATCAAACTCCTCGGCCACGCCCTGCCGGCACCACGTGCGGTTGTCAAACAGAGCGACCAGAGACTCGTGCTGCGTGAGCTGAAGGGTCGACACGAGATGGAAAGGTTATCTGAACGTGATTATATAGATGACAGACTTACAGGAGAATTAAAGGTCAGCTTTGGATCTACATCATCATGAAATCCCTGCAGCCAGAAATGCAGTATGTGGTACAGCTGGTGGATGTCATCTAAATGTTTCATTGTTTGCTTTTAATTAATCTCAGACTCCCTTAATGATATCTTCAACGATACTGAGGAATACCTTGGTGAAATAAGGAACATTGAATGGAATTTAATCTTTTCTGTTATCTGTGCAGTGCAAAGACACTCAATTTGAACTTGTGATTTTGGATATACAACTCCTCATGTTTCAAATATTCTAGAAACAAGTACACCTTTTTTGATGGCAGTGCAAAAGCTTGTCTTTTTGACAAGACTGTTTCAATTAATGAGCGTCACTGCACAGGACAAATAAAGGTTGTTCTCCCTCCTCACAAGCAAAGGTTTCTTTCTTTTGACAGTCTGAAAGGATCAAAGTGAATTTAAATGGCTTGTTATGCACAATGATAGTGGAGTGTTCAGGCAATATCAGCCCAAAAGTGGTTTGCTTTGCAACTTTGAGAAAAGCTCAAACTACGTTTCACTTTGTTGTTTCAATTGTCAGATATTTCCAGTGGCAGCACCTTATCTGAAAAAGAGGCGTATTTCTTTCTTTCATACACAATACTGCAGTGCTGCATCAAGCAAGTTATGTGTAACTCTATGACAATGAACATTTGTTAACTGTTTTTTGTTTTAATGTTGCTTTCTTTATACCAATCCATATTAGGTACCATGGCAGCTATTGAACAGCTCGTGCCATTTTATAGGAGAAGCACCAGCTCTCTATTCACTCAGAATTACCATCAATCATCTTACAACAGTCAGCAGGCTTCAATGCCGTCATAAGAGCGTGAAAGTACTTTCTCACCTGTCCCGCCATGAACTGCCCGAAGCCTGGAGGGAACGTGAGAGTGGAGATTAGCAGGGTGACGACGGCGGGATACACCAGGCGCCTGACAGGGAGAGAGGGACTGCGGGGTCATTAATGGGGGCGCCTGTCACACTGTATGTGCTTGCTTGATTTATGTGTGGTGGTGAGGCATAAATAGCTCTCTGTGATGTGTAAAACTGAAACAATTGATATTAAGACTTAACCTAAATTTCCCATGAATACATTTAACAGGAGTTATTTGAGTGCATTAGACCGACTATGGATAAGCACTTGTTTTTATTAAGGAATAATTTAATACTTTGAGATATATGCATATCCCTCGTCTTGCCTAAAGTAAGAGAAAATGATAATTCCCACTCTCATGTCTGAGGAGTATCAATCATCTCATCTCTCGGCAATAAGACAAATAAGTGCATTTCATAAAATGCCAATCTACATAAGTGTTTAATATTCTGTGTCAGTCAGAATCAGCTACTCACTTCCTCAGCAAGAACTTGTTAATAGTCTTCTGCTTCCTCATGCACTCCACAATCAGCCGGTTCAGGTAGACAAAGAGAGCGCCACCAAAACCACAGGCAATCCTGCAGACACACAAAGACACACCTGTTTGAAGGAGAAGCAGAAAAAGCATCCCAGGACAAAACAAAACCAGCTGCACTGAAAAGCAATCACACTGCCACTGAAAAGCAATGTTCCTGCATGGTTAACGATGAGGCAGGCAGTTTATTTTTGGCATCATTGGGCAAAACATTTCATAGTGACCTTTCAGCATATTCAACAGGTCGGAAAGAAAAACGTTTGAAACCCCTTTGGACGTTTTAAAGCTTTAGAAAATCTAGTCCCTGATGGGAGACTTTGGTCAATCTCAGGTCATTTTACAGAGAGTGTGTTCCTATTGGCTGTTCTATAAATGAACATGCATGTCCCTACAGGTGGTGAAGGCCTGATTCAGCAGCACAATATCCTGCAGAAAAGCAAAAACTGCCCAAACTTCAAAAGCAACCTGAGAAAAAAAGAAAGACATACTTATCTAAAGGAAATTGCTTACAATATCAATGTTGCTAATAGAAGCTCATGACTGCAGATTGCTCATTTTAATGCTATTTAATATTAGCATCATTTGTCTCTAGATCTGAAACACTTTACCAATATTGTAGCTGGGGCCTCAAATCAAAATATGTCAGTGTATTTAAGTCTAAAAAGGAAAATATGACGGGAACTCTCATAATTCTCGCTATAAGAGCGCATTCAGATCACAATGATAATCGAGATAATGCTTGAATTGAAAGACTAGTAACTAGCGTGTCTATATGCCCGTGCTCATCAGTGGGAGGGGCTGTGGACAGAAGGGCTCTTTATTCAGATTCAGTTTTTTTGCCATTTTGAGAAAAACCTCAAATACAATTACTGAAATGTTGTTGTGAATTTTTGCCCAATGACATAAAAAGAAAATACAGCCTCCACAGCTTAAAATCACTTCCTTTGAGAGGAGCCAATAATTGTTAATCTTTGTTTTTTTCCATTTAATAGGTTTTTCGCATCAAACTAATCCAATTTGGCACGTCATGATGATACAGTCACTTATTGTAATCAGCAGAGTAAAAAGTTAATTTCATGCTCCGTTCTTTGACTACAAATCAACCTTGAGCCTGCAGCAGAAATGTGAATGTGCCTATGAGGAGACTACAGAGGGACTGGGGGCTCAGATCTCCTCAGTAACAGTAACTGCTCTGTGATCAGGTCTATTGTGGCGTCAGTCCAGGGAAAAGACTCACCCGAGGATGGCGAACGCCGGCAGCTCCTGAAGGTCAAACGGGAAGTCAAGACGGAAACGAGTCTTAAAGAGAGCAGTGATGGTCTCTGAAGGAAAGAACACTGTTGTAGGCTGCACAGCAATTTATCCATTTGTTACAGATGTAGATACTGACATTTAAATTGGTTTTGGAGACCAATTATAATTTATTTTTACAAATACAGAATCACATTATCTTATGATGCTGAAATCTATGTGTGTAGAGATGCTTAAAATACTTATATTGATCATCGCGCCATTGACATGACTGAACATAAAGTATGATAAAACTCAAAACGTTAAAATAATATTCTTTATCATTTTTACCAGATCTCATTTATTTTATTTGCTGAGGCAAATCCATGAACAAAGGTAAGCTGTTATTCTTAATTAACAAGATAATTATTATTTCTTCCCTTGGTAGCTTGTTCATTTAGAAAAAACTGTTCATAAAAGGAGAAAATTATTGCTTTTCTCGAGATTATAAAATGATTAAAGGAGGGGTAGGTCATTTTGGAGAAACCAGCTCGAGTGCGCTAGAATTTGAAAATACACAGCCGGAAAAAATCTGCCACTTCCTTACAGAGCCCCTCCTCCAACACACACAAACGCGCACATGACCAATGAGGGCACGAGATAAGTTTGTCCACAGATGGAAGGCTGACAGGCAGGTAGGCCATCCAGTTACTTTAGCCGGGCCGGCTAAAATGATTGGTCGTGCTTTTTACAGCGCTACGGCTTCCACAGATGACATTTTTTTATGTTTTTTTTGTCAAAGCACTGAAGATATTCATTGCTATCGGGATGTTAAGAGCATTCCATGGAATATAACAAAAAGTGTATCTCGAGCCGGTTTCTCAAACTTACCTACCCCACCTTTAACTCACTGATTCAGAAAAACAGGTTTAATATTTTTTTTCTCAAGGGATTAACTTTTTTTCTATTTTCCCGTAACTATGGCATCCAGACAAATAACAAACATGTGGTAAAAAAAATGTGTCCCTAACCTTCCTCCTGGTTCCACACTGCCAGCACTCTGAATATGAAGGCGCTGAAGGTGGCAGCAAAGAAGCCCCTCCAGTAGTTCCTCACCGCAAAAAACGTGGAAGTGACCTCAATGCTGAACAGCACCCCTGCACCAAACAAACAAACAGAAGACATTTAACAACATTCAGACTTTATTCAAGAAATGGTTAAATAGGCCGCTATGGAAAACTGCGTAAATGTTATATCTACATTTCCATGATCCATCATAGGTTGGTGATAGCTACTCCCTTGTTATCACGTATCCTCTGAAGGTCACAGATAACCAAAGCAAATATGTTTTATCTACATTTCTTCCTTCCTTTTTTCAAGTTTTCAAAAATTCTAGAAAAGTAAAACTTGTTCCCACTAAAAATGTAATAATACAAAACACAGAAAACAAGAAGTTAAACAAATATTAACAATAAGAGCCAGTTCAAAAAGTATTATCTACATTTCATGGATCATGGACTAAAAAAAGGTTAACCTGAAACAGTGGGGGAGCTCACCTGAATACACATGCAACATTGAATGTCAATCTAGCCAAAGAGTTTCGAGATACAGTTAGACAGACAGATTGACCAAAGATTGGAAATTGCTCTCCTGCTGGCAGGATAGTCCTACCTCCAATCGGAGCAGCGAAGCAGCAGCCCACTCCCACTGCACAGGCAGCCGACAGCATCTCCGTGTTCCTCAGCCCGTTCTGCCCGACAGGAGTCACACACCCCCACACACCCCCCACACCCCACACCCCACACACACACACACACACACACACACACACACACACACACACACACACACACACACACACACACACACACACACACACACACACACACACACACACACACACACACACACACACACACAACACCACACCACACACACACACACACACACACACACACACACACACACACACACACACACACACACACACACACACACACACACACACACACACACACACACACACACACACACACACACACACACACACACACACACACACACACACCACACACACACACACACACACACACACACACACACACACACACACACACACACACACACAAATCCCAACAAGGTACATGTAAGTGCAAATGCCACAGACACAACAGGTGCATTTGTCATGAAAAGCCAGCAACTGTTCACAAATTCAACACTTTTACTATAAAACCAAAGCTGTATCTTTCCACACGAGATTACATATATGAGTGATGGGATATGGGGGGCCATAATGGAAAAACCCAGGATGGAGTGATGAAACCATGAGATGTTTGTATAGAAGCAAAGATGGCACAGATTGATGCCTCGCTGTGATGGTTCACTGAACAGAATCAAACAGCGCAGACAAAATGGAAAAGCATCAATCTCTCCTCTACTTCTGAAATGGACAGCATGGATTATTAATGTTGATGAAATTGGCAATAAAGGAACTATCCGACTGGTGCATTTCATACCTTGCTTCCCTCAAAGGGCTCTTCCTTTAGCAGTAAAGGTGAGGGAAAAAGAGAAAGAAATATGTGTGAGTGTGATCTGTGCGAGTGTGGAGGTTACCTTTGATTTCTGCTCCTGGAAGACATCCAGTTTATTATCCAAACTACATAAAATCAAACAAGGGCGGATGAGCTTCAGCAAACAGTCTGGATTCAGCAGTGAACTGAGTTAACATTTCCCCAGACTGATTATGTTTAATGGCTGCACAGTTGACCCCTGGACTATATCAGTCTTTCTAACTGGGCTGAGTTTTTCTTCCTCCACATCTCTGCAGTCTATCTTCCTCCGTACTCATGGTGACGCTGGTACATGTGGGAGAAGCACAGCACACTGTCCTCTGCAGAAATAGACAGAAGTCCAGGGTATGGTCGCAAGTGAGTGGAGGTGAGAGTGTGTCCTGGGGAACGGCAGAAAGTCAAGTAAAACATCATAGACATTTTTATGATTAAATTCTTTTTTTTTGCAGCTTCACTCCTTGAAAAAAAAAAATCATAACTCAGAGTATATAAGGCAAGTTACTGGGAACTAGTTACTCATAAAGTCTGGAGAGATGTTGCAAGGTTAAGTGGATTCCAACCTTTATGGTATGAGGTAGCCCCACAGCCCATTAATCATATATATGTATGTATTTTAAAAAGTATAACCATAGTCATTATATAAAAGTGGATATTGGTTACCGTTTTCTGCAATTGAACTGTTAAACTTTAACTTAGTTTGGTCAGCAATTAACCTAACTACCTGGAGAGAGGTTTGACGTTTCAAACGCTTATTCATCACTTTCAGTTTCCTTTCTGAACTTCTTGGCTCACTTGCTAACTCGTTTACAGTTCATATCAATCAATGTCAATATGTTTTTTCTAATATGTTAGTGTAGAGAGCATAACCAACTACTGTAAATCTGATGGCATGTTATTTCAAAAATATTCATAGTTTATAGAGTACATTTAGTTGATGCAAGAGGCATAACCTGTGAAGGCCCTAAAGGTTAAATCTCTAAAATAAGCTATGCATTTGAGGAGAAATCCGTGTTACTTTTGTAAATGTGGTTACTGTCCTCACCATATAACTCCCTCCGAAAAGAGGAGCCATGACTTTGCTCAGGAGAGCGGCGCACAGACTGGCCACATGAACGAAGGGTCCCTGAGAGAGAGAGGAGAGAGAGATCAGGATGTTAGTGTACTGGATACGACTTAAGGCACATTTGAGTTCATGGGCATTCAAAAAACCTTACGCGATCAAAGTCTGCGACGATCCAAACTTTCTAATCCTCAAATGAAGGAAATGCAAACGGTTATCAGCAGTAATTACCGTTTTATTTTCCCAGCTGTTACTTTAATGATACTGGAAGAAGCCGGATTATTAAATCCTCCCCACTGGGAAACTTCAAAAACTGTCAAGCAATCTGTCATGTGTAATTTGTACAGCCAAGAAGACTGATGTGTAGAGATGGAGGAAGATGAAACCTCTACCTCCTTTCCCAGAGGCATCCCACTGCCAAGAGCACAGGTCAGGCCGATGACTTTGGCCACGAACGTCTTGAACGTCAGGTACTCCTTCAGGACCACACCCCTCAGTATGGTCTTCATCTCAGGAATACCTGAACCTGGGGAATCAAAAAGAAAGATATTCCAGGTGGGGTGATGGAGTGGAGAAAAAGGACGAGTTGAAAGAAAGCAATTACAGAGAGAGATGAGGGGAATAAATGAAGAGCGAGGGGGGTGGGTGAGGGGGAAAGCTGATTGATATTCATATAGTTTTCTGTATGCACATCTCATCAGGGGTTTAGCGTATGGATTTATTACAGACGTTACCACTGAGACACCTACAGCACATGTCCTTGGACACCTTATGCTGCATTATAGAGCCAATTACATTACTCAAACACTGAGATATGGACATAATTAGATATAGGAATACATATACCTATGCATGAATTGTTGATGTGTGTGTAAGTGTGTGTCTTACCCACAGCCTGAGGGGCCAGTATCTGTGTAAATCCCGCTGAGAAAGTGATGAGCACTACAGGGTAGGTGACCCAGGCGATGTACTGCAGAAGCATGTTGCTGTCCAGTCCCCCATGCATCCACTTCTGTGCTGCACACACACAAACACACACACACACAACTTCATCTCAGTATAATGCAGCAGAAAACTAAACCACCTAACAAACAGTTTCCTTATGCATCAAGATTAATCTGCTGTGAATACATTAACATGGTTCCTCCTTTTTCTGCCTTATTCATTAGTTTTACTTCACCTGATGTACAGCAGCTTGGTTTCCTCCTCCTTCTTATTAATTATTCAGCTCTCTTACCATCAAACTTAGCCTTTGATAACATTGTAAAAATAGGAGAGGCCATTCTATATATAGGTGAAATGCTTTTTTTCTCCAATATGACAAACATTTTCAAACTTAAAAGACATTACAGCTCTATTTCAGGACTTTAATGTGTAATGGGAACATTTTCATTGTTGTTTTTGTACTTTTTAATAAAATGTCTGAGCTTTTCTCAAACATTGCCCAGAGTGAATGAATTAAAAGTCATCACCCTTGCATTGGCCAGGGCAGCATAGGAAGAAAACTCAAGACATTTTATTAAAAAGTACCAAAAAAACCAAGTCCTGTATTAGAGCTGTAGTGCTCGGTTGATTCACACAAAAAAGAATCAACAATTTTTTCTTTTTTTTTAATTCTGCTATCAGTTTTTATCATATATATATATATATATATATACATACATACTTTATTTTTACTGAATATCTTTGGGTTAAGGAAAGACCCAATGAGACATTTAAGGACTTGGACCTTGAGTAGTAAAATATTCCGCACAATTTGTTTACCATTCTCACTGGTTAAGTTGGAGATAGATTTGATTGATTGATTGATACATTTATTTCGAACAAGTAAAATAAATAATTACAAAACAAATGTTGTAGTGCATAGTCATGTAAGAGAAATCAAAACAAAAAATGACATTTACAACAGCATTAGCAACATAAACAGTGCCACATCTAGTGTTCGAGAAGGAGTGAGAAGAAGTATCATTTATTTAATCTCACCCCCTTGTCCCTAAATGATTTATTTATAATCTATAATCGGCAATAATTATAATTTGTATGCATTATTATTGATATTATTAATCTGCTTTACCTGTTGATTGACATATATACATACACATACATACATATATGCACACATACATATACACACCTACATACTCACACATATACACATAGTCAAACACCTTCCCCATCCCTGTACCTCGAGAAAATAATTTTTCTGTATTTCCTCTTGAACTGGTTAATGTCTGGACATCGTTTTAGCTCCATATTCACACTGTTCCATAGTCTCACTCCACAGGCTGAGATACAAAAAGTTCTTCTGGTTGTACGGACCCTATGAATTTCGAATTGAAATTGTCTCCTTGAACTATATCCCCCCCATTCGTTGAGTGAATACTTTTTGGATGTTTCCTGGTAAAACGTTATGATTATCCTTAAACATGATTTGTGCCGTTTGGAATTCTACCAGGTCTGTGAATTTTAACAATTTTGACTGCAGGAATAATTTGTTAGTGTGATCAAGGTATTTGGCATTGTGAATGATTCGTATGGCTTTTTTTTGTAGAATAGATACTGCATGTATAGAACTTAAGTATTATATAGTTTAATAGTTTAGTACAATGGTTATGCTATACACAATTGTGGCTTAATTAAGTGTTTTTTTTTGTGTTATTTACAGATATATAAATAATATTACAGATATTTTATCATGTGAGAAAAAGGGACTACAATTTCGATTTAAAACGTCAAAAAGTTATCTGTATAGGAGTGCAGTCTTTTATTAAAGGTAATGCATTTCAGAGGATTTCCGTTTTTTGCACTCAACACGTTTCTTCATAGTGAAATTAGTTTGGACCTCGGCACCTGGTGGATTAATTAAAGTGACATTGAGGTAACATTGATGCTACAGTATGTGGCCGCAAAAATCCCCTTTATTGACCCTTTCAATATTGATGAAATCCACTTTGTTAGCTGGCTCAAGATCAATATAACTTTGCTAGTGAAGGCCAGGCAATTTGTATTAATATGTTCTACCTTCACACCACATCTCATAGATTAATACTTTGCAGCCTTTTATTCACTGTCCATCTATTCATCTTGTTGCTTTTTCCCTCCGTCTCTCCTACCTTGTTGGCAGAAAGCGATGGCGTAGTCCATGACCCAGCTGACCAGAGCCATGAGCAGCCCCAGCAGAATGAGGAAGATCCAGTCCTCCCCCACCCGTGAGATCAGGAACTTCTGGCAACGAGACGCACACACTGAGGGCACAGAAAGCAAGTTAAAGCTATGAGATTATTCTTTAAAGTGTGAAGACTAGAGAAAGATATTCGTGGGTGTGAAACTGAAAGTGTGTCAGAGGGGAAGTAAAATAAATGAATAAATCTGTAGTGACGGAGGAGATTGGATTGCAGCCAAGGCTAGAACATCCAAGTATATTCAAACGGAAAATACATTTTGAAACCCAAATTAAAGGATACAAATCAATTTAGAAGAAATGTGAAAAATAAAATTGAAAAGAAAGTTATGATTAGTTTAAAGGCTGTGTAAAACATAGTGTAAGATGAGTATTGATAGATACTTTTGATAGCTCTCCATTTCATATCTCCAGTATAGGCAATATTCATTATGGGCCGATACAAGCAATACATTTGTAGTAATTTTACAATTTTAAATATAACTTGTGGAATTAAATATTTTAGAATGTTTATCACTTTTGTTTTGTTATTTTTCCTGGTATGTTATCTTAAACATCAGCTTATGCTCTGTGATGCATGGTATCTACATGCTGCTTCTTCATGTTTAGCAGAGACACTACCAGATGTATGTGGTAAAATCATAGACTGTAGGTCAAATGCATTCAAGAACATATTTTGGTCCCAAACTATGGAGAGATTTGTCTGAATGTCTATTCCATTTCAATAAGGTGAAGTTTCCTGAACTATATTTTTGAGGGCGATAAATGAGAAAATACCATAACATTGACCTAACCTTGTGGAAATAAAAGTGACGACAAGATTTAATCATTATTCAATCTTCTGACAAAGAAATGGGAAAACAAACAATAACTCTCAGGCGGCGTGAACAAATGATCCAGTTTCAGAGGAAATTCAGAATGAATGGTGTATTATAGAGACAATGAGTGGAGTGGACAGGGAGATGTAATCTGTTTATACAGCGCGGGTGAGCCGTGGAAGAATAATAACAAACCAAAAACGCTATTATTTATTGAATTGTCATCCACCTCAAATATAAAGAATAAGGAGACAAAACACGACTGTGTTACGGATATAAATCTACCACTACATTTTAATCTATAACTCTGAGCTAGGTCGGCTAAAAGAAGCATCAGTGGACTAATTTCCTCTTTTTTGTCTGCGGACACTGCCAAAGCCTGGAATTCCCTTCAACACTCAGAGTATTTATAGATATGCTCATCCCAAGAGACGCTTCAAATGTTCCACTAACACAATTATCAGATCCATTTCATCAAAAAAAGTTGAAAAAGTCCAGATACTTTAAGTTAGTTTTTTTTTTAAATCGTGTTTGGCAATCATAGCAGCATCATGAAGAAACGTTTGCAATAGAGAAGAATCCGAAAAAGCTACATATTTGATGGTGACCCAAAAAAAAAGGGAAAAAGAAAATACACAAAAAGCGTGGGACAAGAATATTGGTTGGCAATATTATAGAATATTTTTCTTGAAAAAGAACAAAACCATCAATGAGTTGAATCTTATTTTACTGTTAGTATTTTCTGTGAAGCCAAACCAATGTTCTTCAATCATTCAAGTCGAATTTGTAACTATACTGCTTGTACAATTTGCTTCTCATTATTGAAATAAAAGTAGTCCTACAGTACCACTTTCATGTCTCACACATATTTTTATTTGTATTGTTTGATTGGCATGCTCCTGTATGATAATATATTATGAAAAAAGAACATTTGCAGCTGTTTTTCAGGTACAGGATTCAGGTCACGGGGGATACTGAGTCTCCTGAGGACAGGAGGTGAGGCACAACTGTGTGCATAACAAGCCAGCTGCTCGCCAAGCAAGGCCACCTGCTGGAGGTAAGTTTCCCACAGAGGAACCAACGACATACCAAACACACTCATGGGCAAGAAAAACCCATCACCACAGTTGAACAACCACTCATCTAGTTATGTCAGAGAGAAACAAACAAATAAAAATCTATCTGGGCAGATTACACTGCCATGTGCTTCACTGGATCTATAATGGTTGTATTTCAACAGTTCATTGGACATTCCCAGGTCCCAGGGACAAGGCACCCGGCCCAGAGCATCGGGCGGGACACACACACACACACACACACACACAACACACACACACACACACACACACACACACACACACACACACACACACACACACACACACACACACACACACACACACACACACACACACACACACACACACACACACACACACACACACACACACACACACACACACACACACACACACACACAACACACACACACACACACACACACACACACACACACACACACACACACACACACACACACATCACACACACACACACACACACACACACACACACACACACACACACACACACACACACCACACACACACACACACACCACACACACACACACACACACACACACACACACACACACACACACACACACACACACCACACACACACACACACACACACACACACACACACACACACACACACACACACACACACACACACACACACACACACACACACACACACACACACACACACCTTCTCCTGATCCCGTTATAAAAACAAAATCACCCAACGGCAGATATTTTTTCCACCTCTGCTAGTGAATCACATCACCTCACTGAAAATAGCTGTAATCATAAAACATACTAAAAATACACCTATCACCTATCAAACAGCATATTCAAAAGGTGCAAAGTCGCTGAGTGACATAATGGTGCTTGGAGTAGATCTGAGTAAAGCCAGCTATAAACTCCCAGAAGACTCACTCTATGAGTCAAAATAAACACAGTACATGTTTTTAGCTCTCAATCGCCGGTAACGGAGCCCTTGGCTGCATGTGTAGGCCGGAGTTACTGATCTGCACAGAGGCACACACTTGTAGTACATCACCCACAGAGATGATGATCCCACACAGATACATGAGAGGAAAACACTAAAAACTCCCACATCCACCAAAATCTGAAGGGTTGTGTTACTTAACAAGTAAACAGCAGTACCCTTCTAGCCTGAAGTCAGGTCTAAAAATAACCACCACAGCTTGATCTACGAGCACACAGCACACAGACAGCGAGAACACACAAATCACTCTGGCTGGCTCCTGATCTGAGAGTGATTGTTTTAAATGGCTCCCATTACAGCCAGCGAGCGAGGCTAGGCTGATATAGTGAAGCTCTCACCTATGGTGCAATGTATCGAGCTTTAATCAGATCACTAGTCACAAGGGCAGAGAGGAAGAAACAGATCCTGGATAACAGCCACACTGCTCACTTGTGCGAAGACGTAAAACAACAACAACAAAACTGCCTTTCTCTTATGTTCCTTTTCTCACTTGTACTGAGATTATGCTGTTTTTAGACTATGTGTTGATTTTTTTTGTTAAAAACCCGGCGGTGGAACAAAGAATTTATGTTTTATTTATTAGTCTATAAAATATTTGTTAAAGTCCTACACTAAAGCCAACTACATTTCCCATTATTTAGTGGATGTAAACATGGCCTGAAACTTGTGTTAGATTATTTTAGTTTACAGTTTTGCAATTTTGACATCATGAAGAGTATGCTGAATTAGCCATTAGGAGGTACTGCTTGCAATAAATCCACAGATATATATATATATATATAAAATAACATTAGTAAATCCAGGTTTTTTTCAGTTTTTAATTAAATACAAATACGAAATAAGTCTGGTTTCAATAATAATTTATTGTAATGTGATTTTGGATAATTCTGTTTGTATTTCATTAGGTCCACATTAATTCAGGTAGAGTAATTCACATGGAGCTCACAGCATCTTAATATTTATTTTTACACAGCTTCCTTGTTTCTAGCCAGCAGCGTCAGAGTGCATAGTTTATTATGGGGATCGATCTCTCTCTCGCTCACACACACACACACACACACACACACACACACACACACACACACACACACACACACACACACACACACACACACACACACACACACACACACACACACACACACACACACACACACACACACACACCACACACACACACACACCACACACACACACACACACACACACACACACACACACACACACACACACACACACACACACACACACACACACACACACACACACACACACACACACCACACACCACACACACACACACACACACACACATCACACACCACACACACAGCACACACACACACACACACACACACACACACACACACACACACACACACACACACACACACACACACACACACACACACACACACACACACACACACACACACACACACACACACACACACACACACACACACACACACCACACACACACACACACACACACACACCACACACACACACACACACACACACACACACACACCACACACACACACACACACACACACACACACACACACACACACACACACACACACACACACACACACACACACACACACACACACACACACACACACACACACACACACACACACACACACACACACACACGTTGGCTGGAGGTCATTGCTCACATCAGTCCCATTTAATCTTGTTCACATCCTCTCCTGCTTTCCTGTGTCTGCTGTACTGCTGTAAGAAATCAATGTTTTCACACAACTTTCAAACATGCTGGAGTACCACAATCTCTCACACACAATCACACCTGCTTTACTTTTTATATAAGCATCACACACTTGCATTGGTCTGACCTTCACAACATGAAAACTTCCTGTACACGTTGTCCCTGCACTCTCACTCTGAAGAAGAGATGTGGGGCTTGATGCACGATCACTTACTATGGCACTTTGCACAGGGGTCTTTCTCATACTCCAGCAGATCGGCAGCACGACTGCGAACGCTGGTGTTCCTCCGCAGTCCTCCGCCATCCCGCACACCTCCATCCCGTAGGCGGGCCGCTTCCTCCTTGGCATACACACCCAGCTCCTGGGTGTACCGCCCATACATCTTTGTGCATGAATGACAGAAAAAGACAGCTTTTATAGCTACATGTGGTGCAAGTGGGAGGCAGTGAAAAAAATGTCATAAAAAAGTGTTTGGGCACAGTAAAGAGAGTCAGCTTGTGTAAAAACAGTGAAGTTCGAACTCAGAGTAAACAGGTGTCAGATGTTTCACTGACTGCAGCTTTCCTGCTAAACCCACCCAGCTCTGACTCAACTTCTTCTCAGACAGCCGAGCAGACAATAAGCTTCACCTGTCAGCTCTCAGCTCGTTAACTCTGCAGGGCTGCCACACAATTGACTCCTAACGATGAAAGGCGGAGTTCTCAGCAAAGGACACCTAATGATCATGTATAAAGCCTGCGTCTGAGCCATGGGTGACATTGTTGCAGCTTTGGTGCATTGACTTATACCATAATGGATCTTTTCAAGTGTCTGTTTGGTTTGGTGGTTGTTTTTGCCTGTGATGCGTTTGCCCAGAATCCCTGGATGCAACCCCTGCAGGAAAACCAACCTGCTCTTCCTCCTCAGTGGCCGCAGCAACAGCAGAAGGTCCCTCCACCTGAAGCTCACTTTGATAAGTGCCAGGTGGAGCATGCTAACAAAATCCAGTGTGGAACTGCCGATATCACTGCTGAGCAATGTGAAAACATAAACTGCTGCTTTGAAGGCAGGCAATGCTACTATGGGAACGCAGGTATGTGCTCTTAATTTCTAGTGCCTCTCAAATGAATGCTTCATTCCAGTGTAAAATGTCTGCTGCTGAGAAATTCATCCATTTCTTTTTATTTTCACCCAGTGACTGTGCAGTGTACCAGGGATGGCCAGTTTGTGGTGGTTGTGGCTCAAGATGCCACTGTGCCCAACATAGATGTGGATTCAGTCAGCCTGCTGGAAACAAATTACCCCTCCTGTAATGCTGTCAGCGTTACCTCTGCTTTTGCCATCTTTCAGTTTCCTGTGACTGCATGTGGCAGTATACTCAAGGTGGGTGTCCTCTTTGCTTTAGTTTAACACAGGTTAAAGCCTGTAATTGAGAAATCTTTACACTTCAAATTGATAAAGCATGACTTTCCCTGGTAGAACTTGAGAAGTCAGCCATTTCACATTGTGAAGCCTGAAACAGAAGTCCTGCTTTTTTCCCTTCATAAATGACAAATTAACTTTTTTTTTAAATTACTTTTGTCGATCGATTTCCTCATTTGAACACAAATGTTTTTTCCTCCTGCAGGAGGAAGAGGGTTTCGTGGTGTACGAGAATCACATGTCTTCCTCATACGAGGTGGGAATTGGACCCAGAGGATCGATCACCAGAGACAGCCATTTTGAGTGAGTTTGTGTAAAATCAATCTCCCTTATTGGCTTATGTGGCCCATTGAGGTTTCCTGAGATGTAAAATCCTCTCCTCGCTCCGCACAGGTTATTGTTTCAGTGCAAGTATTCTGGCATATCGGTGGAAGCTATCGTCATGGAGGTAAATAATGTTCCTCCACCTGTGCCGGTCGCTGCTGCAGGACCCCTGAGAGTGGTGCTACAACTGGGCAACGGCCAGTGTTACTCAAAGGGATGTGTTGAAGGTGAGCGGCACAAAAGCTTGAAAATGATGCCAGCATGTACACTCATTTTGTACGTATAGTAACACTGGTATGTTTTGCTTGCAGAGGCCGTAGCATATACCTCCTTCTACGGTCCAGAAGACTACCCACTCACCAAAGTGCTGAGGGAACCGGTCTATGTTGAGGTGAGCATCTTGGAGCGGTCTGACCCAAACATCGTCCTGAACCTGGAGCACTGCTGGGCCACTTCCACCCCCAACCCCCAAAGCGTTCCACAGTGGGACCTCCTGGTTGATGGGTATGTGGGGAAATCTAATATGGTGTACATTTCGGCAAATTTACTGTGCATTCCGTTTTTAAAAATCACTATTCTCTGCACCAGGTGTCCCTACTCTGATGACCGTCGCTTGACCACAGTGGTGCCTGTCGATGGCTCCTCTGAGCTGCCTTACCCTACGCACCACAAACGTTTCATCGTTCAAATGTTCACGTTTGTGGATCAAAACAACTTCTCTACTCGCAAAGACATGGTACAGTTTTTTTTAATGGCATAATAACGGTCTCTAGAGTCGTAATCAATTTGTAGTTTCCGTCACTAAATGTGCAACTTAAACGTTTCCAGGTGTTCTTCCATTGTACAACGGCTGTGTGTTATCCCAGCAGCACTAACTCCTGTCAACAGCCATGCCATCGGCAACGTAAGTATCAACTGCAAAATGTCTGCAACTATCTGTTTTTTTAATAGTCATTTAAATGTGACAATGTAGCGCAACTTCAATTTCATTTAATTCTGTATTTACTTCAAGCTACAGCAAATTGCCAAACTACTGGCCAAACTACTGGCCTTTTTTTAACATTTAAAAAATAAAGGAAGTCAAATCAACACTGAGGATATACATTTTTAAATTAGAGGGGGTGGGGAATAAACTGCTGTAATTGGGTACTGTAAAGTTACTGATTCACTTTCCATCTCTTGCAGGAAGAGCTGTATCTGCGGTGAGGAAAGTTCCTTCAAGTCAGACAACTCTGGTCTCAAGTGGAGAGGTGATCCTGACTGAGCAGAGGCCATCTGCTCCCAACACCAGGAGATAAAAAGCCACCGGAAGCAAAGTGTGAATTCCTCTTTTAATAAAGCCTGTTAAAAGCTCACAATTACAACTGGTTTTGTCTCTTTTTTTTTAAGGTCACTCGCTATACATTTTCTGCTGAGGTGGATTTGTGCAGAGGCAGTGTAGTCGAGCACGTAATCCAATCTCTCGCTTTGTGCTGAGAAATCACAAGCTAGCATTACAACTTGATACTTAGCTGCAAGTCTAAAATTAACTGAAATGTGAATATGTAAGACATGGAAAATTATTCTTGAAGTGACGCTAGAGAATTTTGCAATAACTAGAAATGCCAGATTTGCAGCACTGGTGGTATGAACAGGCCTCAAATCTTTATTTTCCTACTGAAACATTGATATTTCAAGCCGGCAACATTAGTATGAGCATCACGACTCCTGCAGGCTCACTGCTCCTTCCTGTTCTCTCCTTCTATTCTTTATTTTTTGACAACAGTCCCTCTAGGTTTCTCTTTATGCTACAACTTGCAACATCTCTCCTCCACTGCTCTACGCACCACCTCCCTTTGTCCCACTCAAACCCGTCCACCCCCTCCTCTCATTGAGATGGGCATCACGACTCCAGACTTTCTGCTCGCATGCACAGGAGGTGCAGAGGGAAAGCAGTGCAGCCGTACAGGTTCACTCTGACTAGCAGAGAGAAGACCACGCTGTCAGGGATGCTAATCTCCATCTACTTTAACCTCCAACCTGCTGGGGAATTATTTAGGCAAAACACTGCTATACATCATCAGAGAGCAGCACGCCATCCTGTAAAATGTAACATCCCAAAGGACTCGGCCAAGGTTCCAGCTGACAAACTCTAACTACTGCTCTGTGGAAAATGCATAAACCTACATTGAGTGAAATGTAAACATGTTTTGCCACTGGTTTAAAACGTCTGTCAATTAAAACCAACGTGTTGCTAGAGCAGTTTGCATGTTGGGCCAAACGAGTCTCGCGTTTGACTAAATACTCGAAATATCCATTTTTGAATTTGTCTGCATACGGGTCTTAAAGCCGCACTGAAAACTGCCTTCAATTTGATCTCAACTACACACGTTTAAGATTCATTACAGCCTCTTGCACAGTTGTGATGCGTGGTGACAACAAGGTTTCTGTGGTAGTTTCTGCTACCATGGGTCTCTCCAAGAGCACTGTTTGCATCACAAGGTGAACGTTACCCTTAATTAGCTGTTACAGCTGTTTTTTGTGTAATGAAACTTAGTAATTCAGTTTTTAAGGCTTAAGAAAAGACAACACAACCTTCACAGCATAGCGGTCAGGATCATTTTTAAGACTCAGAAGGGCATTCAAATGTGCAATGTCATTTTATAATTCATACTCTTATTTTTGGCGTCTTGCCTTTACTGGAAAACAGTTGCGATGCAGACAAACGAGGGGAACATGTCCTGCAGCCAGATGCAAACCAGTGATGCTGTTAATTGATTTACAAAAACAAATGTTGCACATAGTAAGAAGAAAAATTATGATGGCTTTCAGGGCACTTTCTTCATCCAAAATTAATTGTCAATTTCGAAAGATCTTGTCAATTCACTACATTTGTTAAATTAAAATCTATTCAAAGCTACAATGACTTTCAACTTTCTTATTGAATCTTGTGTGTTGGCAAACACATTTCTCCTTTGCCCACACGTACAGTATAGACACACAAAAACCCACCACCAGCACCAGACAAACACCCACACAAACCAGGCCTGTGATTCTTTCTTTGGCCTGCGTGAAAGCAATCACTGGCCATCTGGAGCCCCCTGGGAGAGCAGCAGGTGGGACCCTGTGTGTTAAATTAGCTGTTATCTGTAACCAGTTCACCTCCCACGTGACCAACTTCTGTATCTACATTAGTCAGTTTACCTCCCACATCACAACCCTCTACACCCGTTCAGCTCCTACTGCCTCCCACAGGTTGCTATTGACTGGTTTGTCATAGACTATGACGCCCACAGAGAGGACTGTTCCAGTGTGAAATAGTTTCACATGGGAAGACATTTCTCACCACAAATGAATTTGAGTAAAACGGTGGAAGACAAATCAAACTCGCAATAATCTAACAAATTAAACTGGACACTCATAGACAGAAGATCTAAAAAAAAAGAAGCTTGAGTCATGCCAAACATTAGTCATGCCATAATTCTCATTTAAATATCTAATTTAAACAATAATTCTCATAGTTGCCACCTAGTAACAAATCAGAAGATGTAACAACTTTTTTACCAACAAAATGTACTTTTGTGCCACTAGGCAAAAGACTGCAAAGTGGATCATGGGAGTTTGTCATTGCAGTCAGATTCTTTGATTAGGATTATATTATTTTTAATTGTTCAGGGT